TCCAAGCACTTCAGTGCATCTCATTAAAGTAGCTGAGAAGGACTTGGAAAGATGTCTTAATGCAGCTTTGTAGCTTTGTGGCCATGGCTAAGAACCCACAATGACATTTGCTGTCCTGTGACTTGGGAGTTTTGCTGCTCGTTTAAGTACACTTCTAAAGGATCTGGAGCAAATCCCTGTGATTTTTAATCTTGCACAGCTCGTTTTTTCAGCTCTGTGTGTACCACTACCATCTACTGGCCAATCTGAGACTGACTGTGTTTCCAAGCATCAAGATCAACCTTAGTTCGTTCCATCTCAGAACAGCATGAACTCCTGTGGATTTGTTCCTGATGGTTACTCACATATCTGCATCAGGGCTGCACTGGATTGTAAGAGATCGGTGCTGGCCTGCAAGGGTTTAGACCCAACATTCCACTGGTTACCAGAGGAAATATTATAATATTATTATAGATCAATCAGGGGTCTCTCTCTCTCTTTTTTTTTTTTTTTTTTTTTTGAGCTGAGGATTTAGAGTCCAGTTGCTGAATGTGTGCAATTTAGCTTTTAACCAAATAAATGCCCTGGAGGAAGAGTATGCCATGGATTTCATTACATTGGGTTTATTATTACAAGAGACTGAGGATGCCTGTGACTACACTGAGGGAGGGGCAACATAATGAAAGAAAAAAAGTAGGGGGTTAAATTAAATGGGAATTTGTGCAGTGGTGCCCTGGGAACCAGAGCTGGTCAAGTCTCACAGAGTATGCAAACCCCTATTTTTAACCCTATGCTCCCTCTGGACTGCACAGCCCAGATTTCAAACAGCCCCAAGGCTCCGCTCTTGTCATGATCCAGCTGAAAAAGTGTGTGTGTGTGAAGGCAGTAGAAGAAGGAGAATCCCTTCACGAGGAATGGCAGCACTGCACTCAGGATGACACAGCCAGGAAGGGTTTTGCTGAGAAGTCATGTTGCCCACTTACAACCTTGTGCTACAACCCTTTGCTCTGTGCAGTCATGCTGGATGTCTCCAGCATTCATATGCTCCCATTACAGACTCACATCCATCTGGGATGTGGCAGCTGCATTACCTCAGAGACATGCTGCAAGGATTGCTAAAGGGATCAGAAGGTAGATTTTCTCCTGGAATGGCATCTGCAAAAATAAGCACATGAAGTTTTGACAAACCCCAATATCTGGCAGAGAGGGCTTTGTCATATATTGACCTGAATGTACCTGTCTCTGACAGGGATACCCTTCCATCCCCTAAGCAAACGAGTGATATGAAGAGATTTAACACTTCCCTTTCAGAAAGAAGATTGAAAGAAGTTAGCACAGCAGACAAACCCACAACATTCATTTGCCTATTCAGGCTCTGGGAACCAAGTTCTCAGACACAGGAAGCACTTTGGTGCTATCTGTGGAAGCTACTGTGCTGCAGTCCATGTATCTCCACCTCGTTTGTGGCAGAAACAAACAGGCTCCCACACAACACAACCTCCACAATTTAGCAGGAAAATTACTCAGCCCTGATGGCCTCAGCTCCCTACTGCAGGGAACAGGAAGCAGGGTGGGAGAGTATCTGTATATCAGTGCCATGATCCCATCCATCATCCTTACTCCTTCCAGTACTTCCTGCACACACATTCTGAGGCATCCTGGGATACACTGGGACCACCATATGTGTAGAGATCATACACAGTGCCCAAATCTAGGTCCAGTCACACAGCCAGAAAAGAGGCTTGTCCAAGCTGTCCCTCTCCTACCAGGATGACCTAGTGCAAAGCCTGGGCACTGTTGTTGAGACATTAAAGCCTCCCTCTTATTAAAGCTGGGGAAAGATTCAAGAAAAATTACAGCACAGAAAATTATTAATCACGCTTTTATTTTCCAGTTGAAATAATACAGTGAATCTCACTGCCAGTGTCATCAAGATCATCCATAAAAACAACAGTCACCACATCATACTCTGATCAGCGACAATACAGACCTTTGATTAAGGGAAAACAGTTGAAAGCCATTGGTAACAAAATCCAGAAGGAAGACTAGAAAGCAATCAATGATTATATTCTTGAGTGAATAATACCTGAAATTCTAAAAGTTAAATGATGAATTATTTTAAAATAAATATGTAAGGGTCTGTTCCTTCAAAACCATTTCAAAGTAGGAAGAAAACACTGTTTGAACTCTTTTTCCCTTAATGCAAACTTATCAACATCAGAGCCAATGTTAATCAACGATCACTATTTTGAGTTTAGGGTTATTATATCACTGCCCTTCAAATATATTTAAATGACTAAAGCATACCTCAAGGAAAAATGATCAAATGTCTATGTCAAGTATTGTGAAAAATACAACTTCATTAACCACATAAAAATCTGACCAGAGTCTGCATAACTATTAACAACATTGTAACCCAATAAATACATGTCCTCACAGATGACACAGCTTATTCTTGTAAACAAAACTGCCTTGCAAGCCACTCTGCTTTCTGTACTGTAAGAAGGCAGTGAATGTGATTAAGGGAATTTGTTGGTTTCAATTCCTCCAACTGTAGTTTAAATAGGTGAGATTCTCATAGGGAAAGGAGAGAGGGTCACAAGCTTTTTTCTTCTTTGATAGTAAAGAAGCTATCATAGTTCATACATATAAACAGCAGATTATCTGGCAATTGTACTCAAAAGTTGGAGTCCACAAACTCTAATAGTGGACTGCAAATAAAAACAATCTCACAGATAAATCTAGAGGTCTAAACAAAAACTTTTAAAATATTACTGAAAACTAACGTACAGGATCAAATCATTAGACAAAATATACACAGAAAATCTATTTATATTTTATATGATAGAAAAGTCTCAGATTAAGAACTTGTGATAGCTACAACCTTAGAAGTTATCAAAAACAGTAAGTTGAAAATTATATTGGGATCAAACCATCTGCAGCGTCTTTGACCACATTTTTGAATGGTTTTGTAAACCAGTACAGAAATATTCTATGTATTAGATTTTTTTTTTAGAATAGCCCTATACGTAATTATGATATGAACAGGCAATTTTTGTTTCAAGAGCTGGGCATGTGAAATCTAACTAAAAGGCAGTCATACATTCCTGTGCATGTGAACAAATATTGTGTAAAAACACTTCAATTGGTCCCTAGCCGATTGCTTAACTCTGAGGAACATACCTTTATGTTAGGACTCTTGCAAAGTGATGAATGAGTCACCTTAAAACAAACAAACCAAAAACTGAACAATAAATGCAGCCCTTTGAAGCAGCTTTTAGAGATGACTGAAATTATAGTAAAGCCATTCTGAAGAAGCACGTCATTAACCATTTGCTTTTCCACACTGCAATCAAATTAAAAAATAAAATCCCTGAAAAACTTCCAGTTGCTTTCAGAGAGGTGGGTAGAGGACTGATTAGGGTGGTGGGAGTCTGAGGGAAAGTAAGCACTTCTGTCCTGGGCTGCTGTGAGATAGCAGAGAGACCTGAGCTGGCTCCTTCATAACCATCAGCCTGCAGACCAACCAGTCAGCAAAATTCATCTCCTTTCTTAGCACCTTAGTATGAACACTGAAAGGGAAAGTGTCTTCTACATGGGGTTAGAGGACTCTAGCACCCTTTGGGAACAGCACTGTGGCTCACCCACTTATCACCCTTAGCTTTTGAGAGCAGGGTCTCAGAAGAGCCTCCTTGAATACTGCTTGCAGAAATACTGTCAGTAAAGCCATTTGTTACCATAACTTCAGCAAGATTTATAACAGGGTTTTTTTTTTTCAAACACATATTGACCAAAAATATCTTTCAAGAAGGTTGATAGGATTCCATGTCTAAAATAATCTAGGTGAGAGATCACATAGCTAAATCTTTAACAGGATGCTGGACACATCTCAGGATGACAAAGCTCATACACCGTTACATCCCTGGACTACTTTATTTTATAACATGAACTAGGCATCACAGGCCAAACTACCAAAACCCTGGCACTCTCAAGTCAAAAGTGACTTCATCTCCCTGCAAGCCCGCAAATCTACCTGGCAATAATCCAATAATCCACTGTCTGAAACATAACTGTTAATTTTGCAGAAGGGATGGCTAGTTAAAACAAAACAAAACAAACCAAACAAACAAACAAGTCTACCGCATCATTCTTGGAATATGTTTCAGAGTTCCCAAATTCAAGGTCAAATTTTAATGCTGCCTCATGAGCAGATTCTGTGATGTACAAAAACAAAACATAAAGGCCCACATGTTCCTAAAGGAAAACGTTGCATGAAAATTCCCACTGCTCTGGGGCCTCAGACACAACTGCTCCATGTGAGTGCTGGAGTTTTATGGTGTGTATGTTCAACTCCTGGCTTGTCCCAGAGGAGCAAATTTCTCTGTGTTTCTGCCTTGCATCCTCAACTCATCCTGCCACAAAGCAAAAGCCCTCCAAGAGGAAACCCTACAGCATTCATATCGATGGCCATAACAGTTTCTCAGAATATGGGTACCCTGGGGGACTCCTGAGAATTAGAAAACCACTGTAGGTTGTGAAGTTTCACACAGAAGACAAGACCACTTGCTACTTCTGATCAATTAATTGTTGTCACTTCTGTCAAAATCAGAAATGAGGATGCTTTCTTCCACAGCAGGAACATCAGCATTAATTTGTGGTAAATAGGCGTTTCTGACCCACAGTATGTGGTGGAAAAGTCTGTTATTCTGTTTGTACAGGCACCACAGCAAAAGGGAAATGGCAGCCAGCATCACCAGCGTCACAAGAATAGCCATAGCTACAAGCCCACCATATGACGCTGAAAGGGAGGGACAGAAATTGTTATTAGGCAAATATAGTTACAATTATAGATAATTCTCAATATAAACATATAGCTGTTTTATGGAAAACATATTACTACTTCTTATATGTCACACATTTTAATTTACAGATTTAACAGTGTAAAATGTTTTCTCCCAAAATATCAGCTCAAAATGTGTATTACTCCTTATTAAAAAAAATTAAGAATATATAGAACTTACCATTTTCAGAGGGTTCTGTTGCATCAATATCTGAAATAAAATCCAGAACAATCACAAAATTACCCACAGAGGTAACAGAAGTTATTATGTATACTCACTGTAAAATGGATACTGAGAAGACAACCGATCTAAAACCACACAAGAAAGGGCTGTTCTTTGTTTAATTTGACTCATGTCAGTGTTATTCCAACTGGTCAAGTTAAACATATTCTAATCTGTTATTTAAAATCCCTTTAATTTGGTGGAACATATTAATTGACATTTGTGCATGGATGAGCAGCAGTATTTACTCACTTCTTAAAGTACAAATGCATGAACACAACCATGCAGAGGTAGGTTAATCTAGCTTTTGGGTCCAGCAGTGACTGGGAGATTTTGTGTGGGCTCTGGAAATTCTTCAGCTCTTTCATAGGCCCACGTTCCTACTGACATGGTGTCTGGACAGCTCTCCCAGGCTGTGCCTGCCCGCCCAGCGGGGGCTGTGGAGGTCAGCCTGATGCCACAGAAAGTCTGTCGCACTTGGCACTAATGCAATGGTTGCCCAGGTTCCTCAAAAGGAGGTCATCCTGTGTGCTTGGGGTTTTTGCAGGTTATTTTTTTTCTAATACCAAGGGAAAGAATTATTTAAATGAAAACTAAGAGCAAGTAAGCGAGCAAGCAACAAGGAACATGTAAAACAGTGGTTAGGAGGACACAACTGCCTTATTTTATGGAAGAACATACCTGCATTCATTTTGCAAACAAAACCCTTTTTTTCTCTGCATGTAGATAATTGCCAGACTCCATCTGTGGTCCTCAGGCTGATACAGAAATTCCCTTTGAGATGGTCAAACTCAGGCTCCCTGATGCCCCAGTTAGAATAATTTAAAGGAGAACCATCAAACCAGGAGACTGTCTCATCTATGGGCAGAAGATATAAATCATTACAAAATAGAATATTATTTTGATAAGTATCTCTGTTTCAGTTGGACTTACTCTCACATTAAAAGGTACTGTATTATGGAATGCCAGGATTTTGTCTGTTTGGCCACTATGTTACTTTTTTTTTCTTGAAGGTTTTATAAACATCCTATGTAGTTAACAGAGAAGACAGTTTTTCTAAGCAGGAAAAAAAAAGGCATTCACACTGATTGAGTATTCAGAATACTGGTAACGATTACAGAAAGCTTGACTTTACTACATCATAAACAGGCAACAATCAGTTGTTATTAGACTTAAAAGTTGTTATATAAGACTCTTATCAGAAGATAAGAGTCTTTTGGAAGATGGCTATGCCAGCATTAACATCAAATAAACAGAAAACAAATCAGATGCAGTTCTATTCCACTCAAAACTTACTGTCTGTAACAAGCAGGATGTTCAACCAAACCATTTGCACAGAATAACCAAAATTGTGTAGCTCTTCCAAAATGAAGGCATTTTCATCTTCATCTTGAATAGTTAGAAGATTTGATCCTATAAATTAAACAAAGAATAAATTTTCAAACAATCCATGCCATTAAAATGTAACACTGCATTTCAAAAAGTTAGTATTATGAGCCTTGATGGAAAAGCTTGAAAGGTCTAGTTATACATTAGAAGTTCTTAAATTTGTCATTAATATGAAACTGTTCAGACCAATATAAAACTGTTCTTACATGACTTTAAAACAAGTTTGAAGGGAAAAAGTTTCCTTTTATGTGTTATTCAAGAAAGCAGTATTTTCACATGGAAAGGAACATTTTTTTGATTTATGTTGACTCCAGTTTCATAGTTGGTTTATGAGTGCTGCTACTGTTATCTTGTAATACAGAAAACATATGCCACGGTTTAAGTAATTTCATAAAATATGTATAGTTTTAAGATATCACAATGACATTTGGTAGCTACAAAACAATCACCTTGATTTTTGCAGACTTCATATGCAGTATCAAAACTCATGCCCTGCAGAACTGTGGAAAAGCTGTAGCAACTGTTTTTAAATTTGATCCAGGGTACAGTTTTTCCTGAACATAAGCCTTTATAGGCACTGAGTTTCTTTTCTGTGGTAGAAATAACAGCACAGCTTTATAGGCACAACAAAATACACACTATTATAACATTCCACACACTGTTCTGGAGTAATGCTAATAAGCATGTTATTGCATTATTCGTCTGTTTTTCAAAGCGAAAATCTAGTGGTTGCATATATTTGTATTAGAACAGTACAACTGGTTTTATTTCTGATCAGAAGCCTTGCTAGATTGCAACAGTGGTATCAGGACAACCTAACTGGTAGTGATGTGAAGAGGCACTCATGAGTCAGAGCACTCTGGGCTGCCCAGCACCTCCCAAAGGGCTGGGGATTTCCAAGGACCACAGAGCTTCTCTCCACCAAGCTGCAAAGATAAAGACCACACAGATGAGAGTTTCCCACCGGCAAGCAGCAGGCAGCCTCCCCAGCGTGCAATATGCTGCAGCAGAGAGTTCCTCTGACTCAAGGCAACTCTGCAAGGTCACTTTGTGATACCAGTGTCACTTTTTGGCAATGCTGGAGATTCAGATAACATTACTTATGGTTTCATATGCCTCTTACTTTTACTACAAAACACATAAACCTTAGGCTATACATGATTGCACACCTTGACCCCCCAAAAAATCAGTCAGCTTCATTACAAAAATCCATGCTAAACAATATTTTTTGTCTTGAAGGGTTTCAAAACAGCTTTCTACTCAACAAAACCAAAAACTATAGTAAGTTGTACGTGAAGCCCCGGTGATCAACACCACTGAATAGGAACTATTTGGAGAACTGGATTCTGCCAAAGACCCTGCAGTCCTGGACTAAATGGAGTTCCAGACCTGAATTATGGATTCAACTGAAGCCGAGGTAACTGACAGAGAATTTTAGGAAACATAACATATTTTAGGATACAGGAAAATATTCTTATCTTTACAAAAAAAAAAATTGCAACATCTTTGATGTGCTTATCAGTGAAGAAATTTTTCACTTTGTTCTAAATACCTCCCTTCTCCCATCCCACAGCTAGTTGCAGCAAACTAAATTTATTTCCTTTCAGCTAGATTATAAGCAATCCTCATTTTTCTCAAATAATATAGTGTTCACTGTAGAGACAAAGTGATTTTCCTGTTACTTTTCTATTATGAAAATTGTCTTCCCATTCTCCTACAAATCAGACCTGATGGCAATATTTTATGGGGAAAAATGGTTTCACAAATAAGAAATACAAAGAGAAAATACAGAAATATACTTCAGTTTCAAATAGTATTTTACCTTGCTTAACCTCAAACCAATTAATGTCCTTTCACGTACTTCCACTGTTAGTACACACATTTGCAGCTGCAAAGATTTATATATAAATATTAACTATGACTTACTAGGTGGCACATGGCAAACTGCTCCTTGCAGAAGTTGTTCACAATTTGTGCTTTTCCAGTGCCCTGAAGTATCGATGTAAACACAACTGCCAAAGGCCTGGGACTCATCGTCTTCCCAGAAGGTAAACAAAGACCTAGTCCCATCCGACCATTCAAAGTTAAGCCCATTCTGCCAAAACAAATTTCAGGTTACCTTTCTGATATGCTTTAGCACCGTACAAGTTAACCTTCTTTTGGTGGCAGGTATTACAGAATGTCTTCTAATTTTATAAAGGCTGGGTAGATCCAGAAGAATCTACAAAAGGCACATCCAACGATCCTCCCAACTCACTTTTGGGAGACTGCAAACTACAACTAATCTGCTGCTTTCAGCAAGTGGTTATTCAGGCCATTGGGCTATTACAAATGAAAAAACAAAATGTCAGCGTTGACACTACAAGAATTTTTGTGTGTGTGTTTTTAGAAGTTTTCTATGGCTTTTGGTTTTCAGTAGTCATTGCACCAAACCGGCCCTCATCACACTTATACACCATGTTGCAACAAAGAAATGTTTAAGGCTCAAGCTTTCCAGGGTTTCATTTCCAGGTTTCATTTTCCAGGGTCTTTCCTGGAAAAACTCCTTTGCAGCATCATATTCACAGCCAGGTAGTCTACTACGTACATCTGAGGTGAACAGTCCGATCCAGTGGTTGTATCCCAGGCGATTCACCATGACTGTGAGGAACGCCTGGTGATACTGGTCTGTAATGCTGACCAACTCTGCACTGTTTGCCATGCAGGCTGTTAAAGCTGAAGACCATGTAAAATTCCCAGTTAATAGTTTATACATTCTGTTTCCATATTCTAAAGTATCTGGCACAGGATACATTTCAGATGCATTGATGACATGTCTGGATGTGTCTGTCATAAGTAAAAAAAAAAAAGGATTTATTTATTTTTAAAACAGACAACACTGTGACATTTAAAAAGATTATGACTACTAGAATAGTATCTGAAATTCCATCACAGTAAAAAACTCATCACAGGAATGAATTAGTTTAATGTATAACAAAAAAAAACCCAACCTGAATGAGGTTAGTTCCACTGACTGCACCTTTGGAGGTACATAAGAAATCACCTGGGATCTGGGCATATCCCAAACGTCCAGTAGCAGTGGGTTGCAGAGTGCTGTTACCCCAAATACTTTGCATGTAAATTAGATTACTTTTTTTTTGACCTGTTACTATTAATAATTTCCAAGATCAGTTTACAGCATAAAGCCTGGCCTCAAAGGTGATTGTACTGGCACTGCCTTTAGGAGAGCAAACTTTGGCTCATGGTACGAGTGTGGGCTCATCTTCACTAACCATGAGCCAATGTAGGGAGATCACAGTGTGGCATTTAAAAAGAAATCCTCTATGCATGGAGACTTAAATCTCTTTCTGATGATAAACTAACACAGCAATGTCCAAAACAATGAAAGGAAGAAGCAGGCTTTTTAGATTTAAGAAATAAAGAGTCTCCCATGATGAAAAAAAGTAGGAGATAGAGACCATCTCCACCTCAACCCAGTCTGCAAGACTGCTGTGCTCGTGCTACAGAAGGCAAATGCCTTTGCTAATGTGTATGAATGCCCCCGGTATACTTTAAACAAGACTACTAAAATAAAGCAATGCTACAGTTTTAATTCTGTTTGTCAGTTTGGATTAATTATTTCTGTCTGTAAAGCTTCTCTGTGATTACAAAATGAAGTGGTTGCTTTTCTACAAGGTAGAGTGTTTTTAGACTTGTTTCCCTTTATTACTAAGAGAAGAGGAGGAGTGTTAACAAGCACCTTAAAATAGTAAATTAATTTACTACTTGTCATTTACAAATCATGTAAAATTAGAAACTTCTAAGCAAGTAAAAATTCTGCTTTTGAGCTAACTAAAGCACCCTGTTTTGTTCCAACTTTCAGTGTGTGTCACTGCTTAAAAAAAGGCAGAAAATGCTGTAAATTGCTGACACAACCCTAACTCAAGCATCATTAAAGAGATCAAGGCCCAGTTCAGATCCCCTGTTGCTTTATTTCAGCTTAGTCTCCTTCAGAAAATAACTCAACCGGGGGAAACAGAATGCAGATAGGATGGCAGACGCAAAGCACCAGCTCATCTTTCCAGGAATTGACACATTTGTTTGGACACGAGCAAATTTAGCAGTTCACTACTGCCAGCAAGAGGCTGTCTCACTACTCCCTTACTTGCTTCTCTGCTCTTCCTGCTGTGTATTCCTTGGTTTGGTGTTTGCCTGACCTTGCATAAAGCTGACTCAGCCTGACTCAGCTGACATGACATGAATTAGGGGAAAATAATAAATAAAAATAAATAATAATAAAAAAAATAAAGCAGGCAGAAAAAAGAAAAAATATAGGAAGGTTTTTGGCTGAATTAGCAAGCTGAGCTGCCTGATGATTTGGGAGAGTGCCACGTGTGTCCCCCTGGAGAGGCAGGATGGTCCCTTCAAACCCAGCAGCACTCTGCTGTGTGTGGGACAGCCCTGAGCTGCATTTCATCCAGGGCCCATGGTCCAGTCTTACATGGCCAGCTGGGAAACGCCAGGTAGGATCCTAAGCACCCACTGCAGCCCAAATCCCTCCCAGAGCCCTGGCCACCATAAGGCAACTATTCTCCTTCCTGCCTCCTCACACCTTCTCCACCTGTCTGAAGCAGCAGAAAGGGGTTAAAATACAAATATTTGGGACGTAACTGAAACAAACCAGCAGGAAAACACTTTTTTTTTTCTACACTATGTACAGAATTATTCCAGCGCTCCCTGCAACTGCAGTTCACAATAAAGAATGTAAAATACAGCTACTGATTTGCTTGAGTCACATGCGAGCGCTGCCCAAAGCTTATATATTTGTTCGGTCTGCTTCTCAGCTGGCCCGCCCTACCCTCCTATACAGCAAGTAGGAGTGTTGTCTCTCTAGACCCAGGGATTAACCAAGAAGCGATACATAATATAGAGTTGAGCCACGTAAAACCATGCCTGCAGTAAATGCTGTAAAAGCCAAGGAGACTCCTCACAGGCTCAGATTACAGAGCCTCCCTTTGCTTCAGGGTTAATAATTTGCTGCTGGTCTATTTTGGTAACATGTTCTGGCAGTGTCCTGCGGGCAGAGGTGCAGCAGCCCCTGGGGTTGGGCTCCAGAGCTGCACAAACTGCCCATGGCTCTCAGCCGAGAGGCAGAACTGGAATGTGGCTTGAGGAAACCAAACAACCCGAGTTCCTCGCAGAAGCCTCGTGCTTCTGGCAAGTGAACTTCATGGCACTAGAATTAGAGAAGTGTGAAAAGAGAAGCCAAACTCTATTCAATCAGCCAGTCACTCCGCATTGTTCAGAAAAATAAATTTTCTAGAATCTGCTCTGATCTAATATTGCAAGTTACAGCAGCCCACCCAAAATCATATTTTCATCAAATTACCCTTAGTTTAGCCTTTTGTAATTTCATGTGGTTACTCTGCTGCCATGAGAGAAGATATGAAATTTCACCTCTATTCCTGATTCTAAGATGCACAACGGAATGCTCAAAGTTAGAAAAAACTTCAGAACATTTTTTAGCAATTAGTTTTACATCATAGCTACTGATTTTTTAAATAGTGTAAACCTAGTCTGTCTAAATACCAAATGATCTTAGAAATCTTTTATGTTCCTGGTTTTAGAGACATCTATAACAAGCTGCTTCTAGATGAAAGTAAAGTAAGAAAAGAGAACAGAAGTAAAGCAAGACAAAACCTTACCCTGAGTCTTTTGGCAGACAAACCCATAATTTTTCTGACAGTTTTCTAAGTACCATTTTCCCGTAAAATAAAAATTAGGGCTATTTGATACCAACGTACACAGTGGAACTTGTTCTTGAATGTTAAAATGCTGTCTCTGCAATCAACACAGAAATTTATATCAATTAAAAAATATACTGTGTAAAAAATCAACATAATTATTACATTAAATTTAGGAGAATAATTATCTGAAAATCTCTATTACAAATATTTAGGTAGAACAATGAACAGTTCTATAAATACAGTTTGAAACACTAACCTCATAATAAAATAACAAGCTTTCAAAATGGACTAACTAAAATGCTAACCCCAATATGGACTAACATGTTGTACAACAACATAAGAAAATATGACATTCATAATCTTGTTCCTAAATTTTGCTCAGACCAAACATATGATGTTAACCATATAGTTTAAACTTCTCTGTTTAAACCAACTGCAAGAGAACATGACTAGAGCCACAAATTATGTGAATGTCTGTCTCGACAGTGCCTTTTTTGCTACTTCTAGCTATGGCTGTAAATCTGTGTCTATAGTTCTTTGAAGTTGCAAAAATTAAGAGAAGCTTAAATTGCTGTAACAACTTTGGCCTTGTCTTATGGCAGTCATGATTTTTAAGCATAAAACAACTTCCCACTGTCATAAACCCCCTGAAAATACTCACATCCACTATTTCAACTGGAGACCAGTTAGAATATATTGTAGGATTTTCATTCACCCATTTGTCATAATCATCACTCTGGAAACCTATCCAAACACTGGTTTTCCATCCATATAGATTCATTGTTATGAAAGCTAGAAAATGAGACAGAAATAAAATAAACTGGTAAGCATTTAGGGATAGATGAAGTCTCTTAGAACATATTAAAGCATTGAAAAATTTATTTTCCAATTAATGACATCACATAGTTATTAGAAAATAGGAACATGAGTGGCATTTTAGTATCATCTAACTATAAATTCAGTTAAATTGATTAATTTCAATTGGGTTAGGGTCTAGTCCATTAGCTAATAATACTGTCCAATTGGAGAAGCCTATCTCAGTTTTAGTTGAAAATAAGATTTCTCAACTAAAAATAGACAGTGACATTCCTCCCACCTTCAAATAAGTGGTTTTACAAATGTATGAAATTCAACCACAGATTTTTATGAATAGGGATTATAAGTATTTCCAAATGTGCTGGCATTTCTTTCTCTGACAGTTCCAGCCTTCCTAGTGCTGTGCTTATGTGCTTATACTATAGATCAGACTGTAAGTACCAGTAAAGGATAAAAATGAGATCTTGCATTCAAAAGGTAGAAATTATAAATAGCAATTTTTTTAAAGAGTATTCAATCTTTTTGCGTATTTCTAATGCATGGTATTAAGCACAAAAGAAACTGCAATTATTCCTTAAAATGTACCTGTCATATATCTCAGGGAATCTTTACATTTTGGGAAACAGAGAAACACTAATTTGTTTAAAGTAGTGGAACCATGAGTAAGCTCTGAATGATCCTTCCTAAATCTGTATCCAAGATTAAACTTTACTACAACATCCAAATGAAGATGAAATTTTATTTATTTAACAACATTTGCAGCACTCTACCTTGTTCCAGTTCATTTTCCAAGAAAGCAAGTGACCCATCATAGGTACTGCAGAATTCCTGTGCAGAATACCAGTTTCTCAGATGGTCTGGATCCTTCGGAATTTGTATCAGAAAGCACTGTTTCAAAAAAACCAAAACCAACCAAACAAAAAACCTTGGGTTTTTTTTTTTCCTCCAGTGATTTATCAATCACTAAGAGTGATCACTAAAACATTTCACATGCAGTTCCCGAATGTTTCTGTCCTGCCATGGACATCTCCAACACGCTCAGTATTAGTTTGCAGCTGCCATCACGACTGTGTTCAAATCAGTTGTTTAAAGGTAAACACAGTCTGGGTTAAATTTATCCTTGTAGTCACTGCAGTCAGCACTGGGATAAATCCAGTCACCTCACTGTATGTTGCTATTAAGGAATGTATGCATTTAGGAGAAGCCTGATGAAATAATTACCTTTTGACCCTCAACTGCAAAAAGACTGGCTTATAATTGTCTTTGAGCCCCATTTGAAACAGTATCTTTCAGAGGAGAGCAGCAATTAGGAATCCATTTAATACATTAAGGGGTTAGAGATGTCTTTTGAAATCATGAAAGATTCTTGGAATTGTCATATGTGGAAATGAGAGGATGGAGCAGGCTTTTTATGGCAAATGGACAAATACATTTGGATAGCTTTTGCATATTCAGTATTTACTCACTGAAACTAAAGTAAAATTTTTGACACTTTATTAGGACAACTTCTTAAAGTGTGCAAAGAAGCTTTGCAATAAATCTTTGTGTTACTGTGTCAGTAGTTATAAACCTAATGGTCCTGCTGTCAAAAAGAAAGAAAACTTTCAAATACTGAATAACCCTTAAGAAGTATAATTTCTGTCCTAAACATGGAACGCATTTTGAACAATCAAAGAGAAAAAAATGTTTTACTTTGAATCCAAAGTGCAACCAGCCTTCGGGACATACTCCTTGTTGTTTCTGGTCTTTTGGAATCACTTTCTCTATTTTTCTTGCAATTTTACGTTTACAAATACAGGGAAGGGAGACAGTACAGTTTTCGTCACCCCAGAGTCCTGTGTAAAAAGGAAAATCATACTTTATTATTGGTTCGAGACTTGGAAAGGACTTTTTCTTAGCTAGCTTAGATATTGTTAAGAAGATCACTATCCTTTAGTGTTTGAATAAAAGGAGATAGTACATCAAATATATTTGGACAACTGCATTACAGTTGATTTGATGGTTCATAGGGCTCATACTTCTATTCCCCATTTAATTTTATCAAGTAAAATCAATTCCTCTACACTGAGTCACAAAACATATGCTTATATCATCATTTATTTAAAAAATTAATCAGGAAAAAAAGAAGTATAAAAATGATGACTTCCAGATAAAATAGCTTGACTTCCTTACATTGAAAATTTTTGGCAAGATCCAGGTAATGACATAAAACACTGACTTGCTTAGGAGGAAAACACACTTCTCAGGACACTCAAAAAATTGTTGGCAAGCCCCCCATCTGCTGGCCAGCTCAGGGGGGAGGGTGGGCGTCTCTTCCTTTTATCTGATACTAACGATAGTAATGGCAAACTCAAGCGTTCAAAATCCCAAGATTATGTGGGGAGGAAAGTTTTTATATTTTTTCATTTTTGACTTTTTGAGGCTGAGGTCACAGGAATGCAGCTGGATTAATTTTTTTTCAGCTCTTCTCGGAAACAGAGAGCTGGGTATTTTGGCTTTCCATGGAACTCCAACATGTTTACTTTACCATATGACTTGCTTATCTTCAGAAAACAGAGACTGTGAGATGACAGAAACCACTGGAACCACCAGCATTATAAATTTTTTTATTACTCTAGTAAAGTATAGAGCTATGTGATAATGTAAAGGCTAGCACCCAAAAATCCCTCAGCAGACAGGCTATGGGATCAAAAATAAGCAAGAAACCTGGGTATTTAAAGTTGTGTGCTGATCGAAAACCAGTTTATAGATGTAGGAAAAATGGTTGCTCAGTCCATCTGGCTCATTTGGTTATGTGAAAACTGTCTATGAACACCAGTGATGCATTAACATTGTTGCTGTACCACATAACAGACTGATTAAAACTAAATTATCAGTATCACTGGAATCTTTGTATTTTGATATTAGAGAGTTGTAACTATTAATATACTTTTAAAAACTACAACCTAGTCTCTGAGCATATTAATGATACGCCACTATTCTTTCCTTAATCTCAGAAGCAGTTATGCAAATTATAACCATATAATGGGACTTTAGTATGGCTTGCCTTTCTTGAGAGCAATGAAAAAAAAAGTATAAACCCTTTGGCCAACAACAGAGTCAAGTCACAATTCCTGCAGCAAAAGGAAATATAAAAGAAACCTGTTTGTGATGAAATGAAGCCACATCTTTTCCCTGGTTTCTGCAGATCTCTTTCTCTACCTTCATTCCAGTTCTGGTATGTTACTGGTGATTCATCTCCCCAGCTGCACAGAAATATTAAGAGTGTAGTTTCACTTTTTCCTATCCTTACCTAAAAATACACCCTCCATTAAAGGGTTCATAAGGAGATACAAGGGAGGAAATGTCCCTTTACTGACTAAGCATTAAAAAAGCAGACAACCACCAGGAGCAAGGCTGATATTAATATCAACAGGCTTGTATCTTTTACAACCCTGTCAGAAGGAATGCTGTAACATGGAGATAAATTAAGAACAATAAATTCTAAATGATATTTACATGAGAACTGAAGTTGTCTCAAATATCCCACTCAGACACCAAACTGGCCCATCATACTGAAGGACATGCCAAGCACAACTCACAGCAGCTGAGGCATATGTATTCTTACCGAAATTCATCACTGAGGTTTTCTGCATGCAGTCCAATCCACCAGTGAACGTCACTATTCGATAGCTATAAAAAAATGTTTTGTCATATGTTTAGCTGTTGTTGCCCTCTTATCAATGCATTAAAAAACTCCTAAACTAAGATTCTGTACTCAGACAAATAGCATCTCCATTGGGTTCCAACGGGAAGAACAGATGCTAAAACCTGCCCATGTTAATTCATGTCACTTCAGTAACCTTATTGATGTAAGTAGAACATGATTTAGCCCCCATGTTTCCACAGAATTGCTGATGTATCTTCTGTGGTCTTAGACCAGAATTTGCTTTTCCTAAAATCCTAAACTTAGACAATAGCAAATATTTGCTTTTAGCATGAATATACTGATGGTCTTTAATGTTTCCAAAATGCTTTCTATGAACATTTACTGACTTTGTATAGCTTATACAAGAGATTCCTAGAAGTGCTTTCCAGAATGATTCTTGTTCTCATGAAAAGATCTAGACCTTTGCTCCTAAAAGGCAAAGCATTATGGACAAACCATAGAAAGAATGCAATTTCAACAGCCATGTGTTATTGCTGTGTTGACTTGATTCTCTCTTAAACTATGAATGGGTTTCACTTTCAGGGTTAGCCAGTCAGACACAGTTTGGATGTTTTTGGAAAAAGAAAAAAAAAAAATTCTGAACGTGTAGGACACTGGAGAAACCACCCTGGCTCTGTGAAACATTTATTTTTTGTCAGAAAAAACTGAAATGCAGCCTGTGTCATGCATCCATACTGTCCTTGTAGTTATAGTTAGGATTTCTCCAGCTTACAGCTTATTTAGCTATATCAAATTAAGAAAATAGACATTTCTGACAAAGAAAAGACTCTGGAATGCTCTCTGATTTGGTAATGAATTGCTCCTGAGTTTAGTTTTCTAATCACAGCACTCAACACATTACAGTTTTTAAAGAAATAGTGAAAATTGTGAATTCCATGGTAAGAAATTTTGACCAGGTTTTCTAATGACACATGAAAAGTCTGTTTGGACTGCTGAGTATCATTTTAGTGATTGCCATACTTACTCTTGCTTCCACAGGAGACTAGTTACAGTCACTCTGGGACAAACCTAGATATACTAGGAAAGATTAGCCAAAGCCAGCAGGCTTTAAAATAGCTGCTTATGTTGTATTCTGGGACAAAACTTCAAGGAAGTTGAGTTGATTTCCAGTGCCAAGAGACTAAAATTTTCATTGCAGAATGCTCACAACCTGCTGAAATATCCACTAATTTTAATGATAAATCCACTCTTAAAAGATCTCTTGTAAGTAAACATGACTTCAAAGAAGCATTGTGATTATCCATTTAAAGTGATATTAAGTTGGAAAAAATACATTTTTAAAAAAGTTTTATGATTTTTTAATTCATAAACTTTCAGTGTTAGGTAAGGCAGTAATTTTATCACATCACAATCTCTGGTATATGTGGAAAAAGACAGCCTAACCAGTTGCAACTTTGTTGCTCTTTCATTATAACCTTTTCCGCCATGAACTACTGGTTTAAATCCATTTCATTATGTTTTAATACAAAATTACTTAAATAGCAGATAAAAATTATGAGTAATTCCTTGGAAACTTAAAGTTCCCATCTTAATACAACACAATTCTACTTTCTGTTATAAGCTAAAAGCTGAGAAGGCTGTGCACAGCATAAGCAAAACTAAGTATGGGTCAAGAGCTTTTCTACCCAAAACTAGTTGTTCTTTTAAAGACTGCAATACAATATCCCTTTACATTACAGCTGTAGAATTTTGTCCTCGGTAAGGTAGATAGACTATTTGTATTAATTTTTAAAATTTCCATTATTTTGGTTTTACTGAGAACACTTAAAGGTAAATGGACTCAGTTTCTTGGGCATTCATCTGCAGTTATTTCTCAGTTCAAAGCTATTTGTTACATCAGAAAGGTTCTAGAGAAATTGTGCTGTAAATGAGAGAAGGTAATTTGGAGGCAGGTGTCTTTTTTTCCCCCCTATAAGTATCCACTGTCACTCACCTCTATTATTTAGAGTTCTAGGTATAATTAAAGTGCAGAGAAACTGACAATCCTTCACTCTTGGCCAGCTCTCCCTAAGGGTAACTTTTCAAATCACATTGAAGATTTAAACCATGGAGACCATTTCAAACATCTCCATTTGCTGCCCACATCATGCTAATGCACCCACTGAAATGTGCCTCAGTATTACCACCTGATGACCAGCTGCCAACTTACAGAATAGGAGGAATTGAGCAGAACTGTGGAACTGTGCTGGATCAGTAGACATCCCAGGGGATGCAGAACCCCTGTGTGAACATGTGAGGAACCACAGTGGATCCCCTTGGTCACGGAGGAATGGAGGGAAAGGAAGAAACAGAGAAGGATATGCCCCACATGTAAAACACACCTTTCTCTTTACCCCCAATTACTTTCCCAGCTTTGGGATAGGAAGGTGGTTTTTGCTCCTCTTGGGTCTTTTCAGGAAGATTGACCAACCTGCTCATTAGCACAGATGTTCTGCAGATTTGAAATGTTACTGACTTCTTTAGTTAAACAGGGTTTCAGGGAGGGATATGGGAAATGAAGAGAGCAAGAGCATCATTTCTAAAGTCAAATGTGTTAGATGCTATGAGTAGCAGGCAGACAGATATTCCAAAAGATGCAGCAGAAAATATCCAGTTACTGCCTGAGGTTTTATTTTTTAAAAGGAGTAGTTTTTCTTACCTTCCTTATTTTATTTTGAATAAAGGCTTGTTCAGCAGAAGAATTTATTGTTGCCATTCTACTGTGAAGCCATCCACAGACAAACTTGTAGGTTTCCCAGTCCGCAGGACTGACATGGAAAAGATATTCTGCTCCTTGATAATATGACCATGGCAGTTCTAGAAAATGAGAGTCAGTAGCATGCAGGGTTAAAAACTCATTTCAAATCTCATCATCTTCTACCCCATAGCCTGCCTTCAGTCACGTGTCAGAGGACAAATATGCCACAATGAACAGCAAAACCACATTTAACACATTAATTTGTGGGGGGGAAAAATGCACTATAATTTTTTTTCTAATATTCCATCCCATGAAACTGAAGTAATACTAGAGAGTTGTCCCAGTTTAGCATAAAGGCAGTTTTAAAGTGATGGGGAGGTTATCAAACTCCTGTGCTTATTACTTGCAATATTCCTTAACCTAATCAGTATAGTATCTGATGTTCTAGTGTTCCTAAATAATAGTGGTAGATTCTGATCTGTAACAAGAAGTTCCTAACGTCCTAAAGAGCTCCTTAACGTAAATTTTCAACTCAGAATATTTTAGTTATTTTACTTTTACCAAAGGCTTAAACTGTATTTTCAAGTTATATTGTTTCAAGATTAAAAACAGAAAATGTTTTCATACCAGCCGTGTACCAAACTGGATTCATTGGTTTAACACCTGCAAAAAAAAAAAATTAAAAATCATTAAGAATATTGCTGTTCTCATGCAGGGGCCAAAAAAGGGGTTAAACATGGAATAAAATAATTGCTGCACTTATTAAAAAACATTTTGAGTAATTTTTATGAATAAGAATGTTGAATAACTACTGCTAATTAAAATCTTGCTATACCAATTTTAGCAGATAAACTAACTGGACACATTAGATCTGTTAACTGACCAACAAATGCTAATGGAGTAAGCCACATGGCTTTGCCATGATTTCATGCAGAGGACCAATGAGAACTCCAGAGGTGGCTAAAACGTAGATTTTTAGATTTTTTTTTTCTTGTCCCTCATGAATTGCAAGTAAAGGGTATAACAGACAGTGTATGTTAAATAACATTTCACCTTTTGGTATTTTGCATATCCATTCACGCTTTTCATTGCAGTGTGCTGGAAAGACCGTTCTGTTTACTTTGAACACACCACAGTTTCTTGAGTCATCTTCAACATACTTGTCCTCCAAAAATGAAGATACAACCTGAAAACAGCACATTCATTCTCTTTTGCTGACAATTCAAGAAGAAGCATTTAAAAATCTCAGCACGGGGAAAAAGAAGGATTTAGACATCTGTGTATGATAAGAACATCATAAGCAACAACTAAAGGAGCACCTAAATTATGGTGGTAAAATACAAAAATTAGGGTCCAAAGTCATGTTCTAACTTTTCCATCTTATATCAGACTTCTTCATAAAAATAATTGAATAGCTATGAAACCTAACAATTTTGTGACATGATTAACAGCAGTTGCTCACACCTAGCAGCCTTTGCTTTGGTTCAACATATTGCACGCTTACACTTTGCACTCTGAAATGACTGAAGTAACAACAGCACAACTGATGCTGTTCTTAAAACTTCAAGGATGCAAAGTCAAAAGCAGTATTAAAAAAGGAAAGACTTAGGTCTGAATGCAGGCACGAACCTAACAGTCATGGAACAATCTAAGCATGTAAGCACAGCTCTAAGGCTTTCCAGTGTGTGTTGCATACCTGTGTAACTATGTCCATACACACACGTGCACATGTGTTCACTCTGCATCTGCCTGGTCCTGGGCCGAACACAGCCCACTTTGCAGGGAAGCACACGTTCACAAAACCTTATAATCCTACCAAGTTCCTTTCACAGCTGCACAGCCCTTTTGCACAAGCTGCTATTTTAACAGCAGTTTACTATTAATCCCATTGTAACAACTACTTTAAGTGTTATGGACATGAAAACAAAACAGTTTTCCTGGCCACCCTTTGCTCACAAAGCTTATTTTTTGTATTTTTTATGCTCAGATGTAACTTGAAAGGTTACTGAAATACAGAGTAAACAGATAGTTACAGGTGTTCCATCAGACCACTGCCATGTCCCTCCAGAAAGTGCATTTCTGTTATTAAATCCAATCCAGAACTGTCTTTCTTCTGTTCTACAATGGAAACAAAGAAAATAACATTTCTCATGCACTTTTTCCGTAGCTATTTCAGAAACAATTTTTTTTAATAGTACAAACCCACATATTAATTTCTTCTTGAATTCAATGCATCATTCCCTAATTAATTTCTTAACTTTTTAGTATCATTTAAGTAAACTGGTTTTCCTACTAAAGTGTTAAATTATATTTTTCAAGATGAAAACATTTAAAAAAGGATTAAAATAGTCAAGCCTCCTTTTCAGTTGGGGAATGTTAACTCACAAGAATATCACCTTGACAGCAATATCACCTTGCTCAACATCCACCACAAAGATCATCTTCCAAAAGAATCATATTACAATGTTGCTAATACAGTTCACCCATTTCTAAGTTAGAGTAGGGACTTCTTCAGACATAGTAAAGTAGTGTAGTAATCTACACCTGAACTGTAGATTATTTTTGCATATTAGTATGATTAAGATAAATCTTGTTGATGTTAAAAATATATTTACCTATCAAAAATTGTATATAATAAATTGTTTAAAAATGCCTCTTCATAGATATGGCTAAAACTAGCAAGATGTGCTCCAAAATCTTGACATAACGCTTCTGCTTCATCCCATGTTCTTCTCATCAGAACTTTTTCATTGTGAAATATCTGCAATAAAATAATCATTGTCATAAATGTGGTTGATTGGATAGAACAGTGGTTTCAGAAAGCCAAAAAAATCAAATATCAGTCAAGTTTTTTTCTGAAGTAAAGCGATGGGTATTCCAAGTATAGTTCTGAATCTTAATACTTTCACTCACTTTAAAAAGCAGTGAAGAATGGTAGCAGGTAATTTTTGTTTGCTTAGTGAAAGAAACAATGCATTTTCAAAAATGTTTCAGGAACAGCTTATCCCTAAGCTGGTGCAGAATCAGAAGAATTCAAAGCAAGTTTGACACGTACCTTGTAGCAGTTGAGCAGATGAGGTTCTGACTCCCATCCAAAATAGCAGGAACTCAAATGTTTTTGAAAAGTAAGTTCAGGTTCTTCATAAGAATTGATTTTTTGCTTGCACAATGACATTGCTTTGAAGTTCTTACAGCTTTTCACTTCCCAGTAACCAACAGGGTGCTGTCCTCGCATAGCCACGCATCCCCCAGAATGACCTAGACATGGGAATGAATATGTGTTGAGTATCAGAATAAAGCATTCAAATTTTGTAAATTTTTTGTGAAGTGGCTGTTTTATTAGCATGAGTTTCTGGATAAAACCTTGATGAAGTTACGAAAGTTGGAAATTCTTTGGTCAGCAGCCAGTTTATCAGCTCATCTTGGCTGACTTGAGCTCGTAAAATGAACCATGACAAAGGGTTCCTCTCACAAAATGCAGGATGAAATGCAATTAAAACCAGAACTTTTGCAAAATGCAGTCATAAAGCAATAAATGTAAAGAGTCCAAACCCTAGAAGCAATTAGTGAAATGGAGTGTCTTTATTATTATGTCTCTGTTCTCAGGTATTACTAAGAGGTTTAAGTTTCAAAGGTTGAACAACTATTTTATTTTTTTTCACTTTTTGTTTCATTGGAATGTTTTCCTTTGAATTTACTATAAAACAAACAAATCAAACAAGCAAATCAAGTATCAACAAACTAAAGGGGAAAAAGAAACCTCCATATATAGGTTCTTATTCATGGAAAGAAATCTGTCAATCTCTGACCTCTTTTTTCATATAAAATGCAAATTTCAAACTCTGACTGTTACTGAATAAAACTTGCAACATCTCTAGGACCTTTTGCAGGAGTCTCAAGAAGCCCTTGGAAAGTCCATAAAGAAATGTATGAAATTTTATTGATGTTTATTGAAAAATATCATCTATACAACAAGTGCATTAAAGTCCATAAAGAAATGCATGAAAAACACCTCACTGGAAAAGAATTTTTCATGGATTAGCTGTCTATACAAGGATGCCCTGGCAGTGGGGAACTTCGGGCACAAGTCTGTAGCATAAACCACAGTTTTTCTCCCATTTTTTTTCCAGCATTTGAGCACATTAAAGAAAGAGTAGATTAATATTCCCCTCACCGCACCAGCGCGTGGGAAGTGTGGCATCCAGCATCCCACCACAACCAGGAGCCCATGATAACAGCACCTGGGTGGACAGCTGGGAAGGAAGCTCCAGCTTCTCCTCAACTGCCGACTCACCTAACTCAGTCCATGGTAGGAAGTTACGGAGTGGCAGATGCAAGCTTATCCCTCTGCTCTCTTGACCAGGCAGGGAGGAAAGGACTGGGACTCTTCAGTCACTGTTAAGCCATGGGTGGTGTGGGGAAGAAAGCAAAGTCCCCACTCTCCAAGCCATTGCTTTTTTTATCAGTATGTTACTCACGTGGCTGGTACTTGTTCCAGTTTGTGTAGCTCATGGAGTGATTCTTTCCTGCTGTACTTAGCCAAAAGTATTCTCCTGTGTTGTTAAGGTCTTGCAATCCTATCCAAAAATAAGTTCTCTCAGATTTTACCATGCTATGGATCATGCTGTTGATAAAAGCTTGTTCAAACCTTGATAAAATAATTGAGATAAAGTTTTTTTAGAATACAATAGGTAAAATGGTATTTTTGAGAATAGCTCTCATGAAATTATTTAAATTATGTGAGAAGAGAAAAACAAATAAGAGGTACTTAATTTTCCTTATAGAATGCTCTGGGGAACTTCAGGAAAAAATCTGTAGTATAAGTCACAGTTTTTCTCTATTTGTTTTCAGCATTTGAGCACATAAAAGAAACACTAGATTGAGATCTTGTAAGCTCAATGCTTGAATTACAAGATATAAAGACAGAACATATTAATGATGCACAAATAAAAATAAGAAACTTGTATGAAGGAGAAATGTTAGTGAGGTCTGAAAAATATCTAGAAGAAAGGAAAATCTTCATACAGAAGTATTCTTTTGGAAACAGAAACACAAATGAGCACTAAAAAGCCAGAAATGAAGGACCAAAGCACTAGCTGATCTGACTACAGAAAGAATCACTTTTTCCTTAATTTCCTCACTAAAGTTTTGTGAGAGATATACACCTTTTTGCAAGTAATAAATGTTGCTTACAGTAACCCAATTGTCACTTAAACGCAATTAATTCTGATATAACTGGTGTAGGATTATACAAAAATGCTTAATTTAAGAGCACATTTAATCAGCTGCCTATGAAAAAACATACAGCAAAATAAGTTTGCAATTTCACAAAGACTTACATGACTTTCTGATTTTACACAATGTGAAAAGAATGGCTAAGTACCATAGGAATGACACTATGTAAAAAATGGAATGCATCTGCAACACTGAGAGTGACTCAGAACTTATATTTAATTTTCACTTCCTCTGTATGTTCTCTTTTTATATCAGTTTTACTTCCTCTACAACCTGCTATTTAATGAATATTTTAGGATCAATAACTGAAAGGTATTTGCATTTTTCACACCAAGACAGTGAATCTCAGCATTAATTAAAAAAAATAAATAAACCACAAACCCAAACCAAACCAACCAACCACCAAACAAAAAACCTCACCAAAACTAAAATAATACTCCAACAGTGGAACTGGGAACTAACATAATTAGTGATGGCTACACACAGAAAGAAGAAAGAAACTAAAAAAAAATAAAATAAGTATAAAAAGAGAGAAGACATGCTTCCAGTGATGTGCAGCATTCCCTCAGCTCCCTGCAACATTTGGGCTGCCAGTGCTCAGTTGCAAGAATTTGTCCTTTGTCCTCCCTGAAAGGATTACTGTCTCACTGCAGCACAGCACTGTACACATTGTGCACAATCCTGAAACCACCTGGTAGGACAAATTCCCATTGATGTAAGTCCTGATTCGGGTAGCCTGTGTTTTCCTAAAATGTCTGGCTACTAGTCATCTGATTGCTGGTGGTTATAGTACTTTCCCTAGTCTAAAGGGAACAGATATTTCCTCCTTGTGTTTTAGGGGTTTGGGGGTGTTTTTTGTTGGTTTTTTTTTACTCAATAAATACACAGTAGCCAAAGTATCTAAGTAATTTATCTATCAGTATTTCAAACTTCACTGGGAATCCAACATAAAGAGTAAATCACAAAGAAAGCAGAGAAAACCCAAACACCTGGACATCTGCAGAAGAAGAAGCTTTTGCTAAAGCTGGAACAGAGGTAAATAGTAACAAAGCATGGGAAAACAGTGACAAATGCTTTCAAACATTTACTCTCTTACCTATTTGCTGAGAACTCACGTAAAATGCATACATAAGTAAAAACATTTATAAAACATTGATATGGATGAAACTTTTATATTTTTCTTTATAAAAATAAGCATATTTTCATTTTTCTGTATAGTTTTTAGGTATAAAGTTTCTTAAAGATGTCACACACCTCTGTAGAAAGCATTTTGTTCAGATTCCTGCATGCTCACTTGTGCACATTGCTGTAAGTGCTTATTAGTCTAACAGTTGTTTTTTTACTAAATTATTTTCAATTAAAAAGTAAAGCAAAGCACACCTTTGATTTTAACCAATGTTAGTAATTATGCTCACCTGTCACACAAATATTATTTTATAATGGTAATATCTTTTGCCATGCAACACTTTATTAAGTTAGAATAGCTCTTGTTAGAGGTATCTTCACGCTGTCTAATAGGATTAACTACCTGTTTGTTACTGATACAAGTGCAGATGGGCAGAAATAACCACTGGAAGCATGTTCAAAACTTCGAGGGGTACTGTCGATTTTGTAACAATATCCACCATGTCTTTCCCATCCCTTAAAAGAAATGAACATTATTTTATAGATTATTAATTATTGTATAGATGTTAAAAACTCGATTCCCTTTTGTACTTCCTGTCTGATGATCACTGGCATCCCTATAGCTCTTTTCTACTGTGGCTGAAGAGCAGTTACCCTCAAGGTCACCGAGAATGTGGATAAATTCAACAAAATTTCAAAGTTTATATCCTAAAAATAAATTTTAAATTAACCATCATCCTACTCTAATAATGCAGAATCAAAATGATACATTTTCATGGTTTATCAGATGAGCCAGTACACTGAGTCAGCGGTAACCCTGCCTCATTTCGTCTCATTATTAATCTTTTATTTCTTACTATTTTACATCTCACAGTGTCCAGAAGACATCACTGGGACTGGTGTAAGGTCTGCTGGTGTGATTTCATGTGGCATACCTGCCTGATTGCATGTTTTAAACAATCCATAGAATTAAGAGATAATACACTAACTCTGTCCAATCCATCTTGAAGCCACAAACAGAGAGGAGAACCAGATGATCTCACTTTTCCTCGAGGAAGGAGCTGCTTGCAGGGGAAGTCACAAAATAGCACAAAGGGGAGCAAGGCACAGCACCCAGATGGACACAATCGAACACTGCTTAATGGTGATATTAACAGCAAAGGAAAAAAGAAGGGAAAGGGATAAGCTCTTTTTCTGCTATCCATCCTCAGGCACAATGAAATGCACAGGAAGTTGCTACAGACCTTTTCAGGACAACAATCAAACATTATGCACATTCTTCAGCTATGCTGAATCTGGTAAATCTTCAGCTTCTACTTAGAAGTGTGCCTGCTGTTGGGGCAGCTGACAGCTCTGCTGCCTTTTAGTATCACCCTCCTCAGTGCTTGGAAGCACAGCCCTTCCTATGGCACAAAAGGACAGAAGCAAAACACACTGCAGTATCAACTTCTGTGGTTCCACCTGAATGACACAATTGCACTGCTCAGACACTGGCTTTGCAAACAGAAGCAAACAACTGTCCTGAGGCTCTTCTTTATCTCCATACCAATGAGATATGGGATTTCTCATGGGGAAGATGAAGTGCCCAGGGACTCAGATGGCTCTCAGTTGTCCTGCAGGGACACAGCAATGCTGCTCTCACTTTGAAGTGCATTTAAACTCTGAGACTGAGGGCTGGAAGGGGGTTAAGTACTGACTAAAATACCGTCTATGGGGACACAGGTAAGAAACAGAAAATGTCTGGTTTCCTTCAACAGAATTCTTGAGTGATAAATGCTCTGGTTCAAAGGAGACAAGCAATCATCCTAACTTCTCTGAAAGGTTTTATAGCTTTAACAGCAATTGTCATCTTAAAAGTACAATTTCCTCCTGTTACAACAGCCATAAAGAGAAATGCTCAATTTAGTACTGTACTGTTATCTTTTGATACACTAACTGAAGTGTAGGGGGACTGGAGAAAGTCACTAGTACAAATACAGTCAGTTTGGTACCCAGAACCTTACAACTTGATTATCAAGCAGCTGTCAGCTCCACAGCCTGTTTCAAAAGCTGGTTGAAAGAACGTATTTTGAACAGTTATTTCAGTACTGAGGAAAACTTTCCAGAGAATCTGACTTTGGCATTAAAATATCTTTTCTCAGTAACTACCTTCTAACTAGAAAAAAGTATAGTTGGCCTGCTAAGGGAAGAAAGTGCTTATCACTTTTTTTGTCTTAGGATGATGTAGGTGAAAAAAAAAGAGCTCAGGTTTCTGGTAATTTCATATGGACATATTGCAAAAACTGCATCATCAGAACAACAGGAAATGCTAGACTCATTCATGTGATGCACAAGTCCTAAAATGAACATGAGATGAAAGCTCAGTAATAACACATAAGACTACAAAGCTTTAGAAAAGCAAACAGCTGTGCCCAAGGCCAAAGCTCCCTGAGAATCTACTAGCAATCCAACGTGAATGGTAGTATGAGATGAACGAAGCAAAAGATCAAATGTGAGAAATGCCAATAGACATGCTGTACACTTAAGGTAAGTCAGCAACAGAAGGATGGAAAAAAGGTAAATCTGGATCAAAAAAAGAGCTAGCCTTAGAAAATTAGGCCAAAAACTAGCAAAACAAATACACTGAATGCTGAAAGTAAGTTGACAAGACAAAATGTCTGAAATCAAATGTAGCTTTGAATATACTTAATACTGACTTCTCTGATTAACTGAAAATAACTTTTTTCACATTGGAAAGAAAAGGATCTATCAAAGCCAAAAGACCAAGAAGAGGTTTCAGCATATGTTTTTACAGGGTGTGAAACATCAGCAAGCAGAAATTTATGCTGAGTAGGAAATTTGCCAGAGCAGACTGAAATACTTACTACAAGTGACTCAATGTCTTGAGTCTCGAGACTGTGAGGCAGAGGATTGAGAAGCTGAAGTGCCCTCAAACTGCTGACTACAGCTGGTCAAGGAAATCTTGATGCTCTGCACTATTTTACTGGTCAGGACAGTGAAAAACCTTTCTCACACTAATAGCACACAAAATTCTTGAGTGATGAAATACCTAGGTCCAAACTAATATAATGCAATTACCCTAAACTTTGGAAATGTGAAGCTGGAACAAAGTAGTAACTTCCATAATGGTATGAGAAGAACACTGGATCTGACCACGGTATGTCTGGGGAAATACTGTAACTGACTCCAAACAGCTGAGCTTCAACCTTCTTATAATTCAGCTGAACTGGTTGTTCTTCATTTCTCAAGAAACATGAACATGAAATTAAAAAAAGAAAGGCAATGAGCTAAATAGTAAAGCAAGTTAGAGAAGTGAGATTTTTTCCTCTAGAGTTCTGAATAAAACAAAATTTGCTCTAAACTAAAAATTTGCTCTTCTCACACTGTGAAAAGGAACTGATGACAAATAAAATCATACTTGACATGCTACTTTTTTACTAGCATAATGTAGATCTTAAAAGCCTGAAAACCTGATGCAAATGTCCTAGTGACATAGTTGTGCTCCTTCCCATTTGTGTTTGAAAGCAAATGGAAAGCTAATGTACGAGTGGAAGAGTTCACTCTCTGTGTCAATGGAACTGATTGTTTTTCACCCTGACATTCCATTTCAATGTATGAAAACCATGTGTGGGATGAGGCATCATATAACAGTCATTATTTGCACAGATGGTGGACAAAAGGGGTTTCACTTTTGATCTAGGAACTTGGGTCACAAACACTGACAACACATCAAGCCATGAAAGACATCTTTTGAAAGCTTTTAATATTACATTAAAAATTAGTTTACATACTTTTAAAGCAAACAATGAGATTTTTTTCCTAGCAAAACATGCACATCTTTAATCTGAAAAACTACAATTATCTACTTACATCTACATGTACTGTAGCTGTATTTAGAGGTTTCCCATATAATTCTATTTTATAAGTATGGTTCTAAAACAACCACAAACTCCCTTACCTCTGGACAACTTGATTCCAGTTCAGGAGAGACATTATCAAATTCCCCTGCTTTTTTGCAAATGTAGAAAGATCTGTCTTCACATTTTTTAATCTTCCAACGTCCCTCCTAAGGGATAAAAAGAAGTATATTCTGTACATATTCATATTCTTATGCATATCTATACACAGATTACACTCTCTCCTCAACTCTTCGGTAAAAAATAAATATTTTTTTCTTACTACATGTATTTGTCCTTAGATAGACCATTTATTTCTACCAGCACTGTCAGTAGGATGCTCAAATCAATCATACAAATGGGTTTTGTCTCTTTGAATCAGTCTTTGGGATGTAATGCATCTTAATTAACTAACACTATAGCCATGCCAGAGCACTTACTTTCTTGCTAGTTCTTTGTAAGATTAATCTTTATATTTGAACAGTCCTTACTCAAGCTATTACGAAGTTTGTATCATATACTTTTTGCAGATCTGTACATCTTGGACATGCACCAAAAGTAATGCTTGAAAATTTTAATCCTGAACCTCCTTTTCCTTTGTATTTTACACTTTTATTTGTTTATTTACACTTTGTTACAGTTGTGGGGTTTAGATTCACAAAGTCATGGTTTACTCAGTTTGCTGACAAAGTCCTATTTTCTGCTTCTAACAGAAACCTACTTTTCCAGGTCATTGCAACTGTTCCAGCTTTCCCCTGAGTTAAAGATTGCAACCTGGACCCACTACTGTAGAGACAAGAGAAACTCTTTTTGATACAGTTTCCACACTTAGAACATACTTTGCAAAAAGGAAAAAAAAATATTATGGTGCTACTTATGTAAGTAAGTCATGTATTAGTGAATTTAAGTACTGTTAATTGTAAAAGTAAAGTAAGTGCATGACTAAACTACAAAAAAATTGACAGTGCCGTGAATACTGATAGGACAGAATATATTGTTTTAACATTACTCCCACTTTTAAAACCCCTGGCTGATTTTGGGTCACCCTTCCTGCTGTAAACTTCTATAATTTCATCCAGACCTAAACTGCTATGATTTTGAAAGATGCTACATAAAATTTATTGATATTGACACCAAGATAATATAGGCACAGCTGACAGTTTTTCAAAACAAGAATTTGAAGCTTTCAAGACCAGAACTGATACATTATAAATTATGATACACACTACTTGGATTTTAAAATACTTTATCAAAATACCCACTCATATTTGTTCTCTTCCATTTGGTAGGCTTTATGTATGTACCATTTTATATTGAACATAAGCTCAAAATCTATGATTAATTTTCTGTGCATCAGCACTGGAAAATGCACTGGTTTCTAAAGGCTACATTACATTTATCATAACATGAATATATTAGGAATCAAAAAAAAGTCATACTCCAGGTCATGGTTTAAAAAAGTATGCACAGCAAGAAACAAAATTATTATGAGCTAAAATAAAAGTGTCTAATTCTTTCAAAAAGAAAACTTACAGATCCTTGTGCTGAAACGCATAGTTGTCCTGTTCTTTGAAAGGTGTTAGGTTCTTGGCTGTGCCAATTAGAGAATTTTACTGGGGTGCTATCTGACCACTCAAAAACAACAGGAGTGTTATTACTGTATAATCCAATCCATGTTTCAGTTACATTTTCTGTAAAAGAATAAGTGAGTTCAGATTTTAATGGTGAAGTACTAAAGCCTGTTTTTCCTGTAATATCAACACCACCATTAGAAATTATTCATGGGATTTCCATAGGAATGTCCTTCTTACAGCAAAAAAAAAAAAGCTGTATAAGCTTTAGGAAACCCTACTGATGAGATTATTTTCTACTGCCCTCAAAAACCAAATTGTTTCAAAAATAGAACAATATATGTGATAATATGCTTTGAAATCCTGAAAAAATACAAATTAGGATCATATGTTCTTTTCTGAAGTGCATGGTGCAGAAAAACTGACACTGAAATGAAATATTTCTTCTTAAAATCTTTCCATACACACTGAGCTTTAGGTTTCTCTGAGTGCTTATAGGCTCCAGGGACAGCACATTTGCAGCCACAGTGGCTGACAAACATCGGAAGGACAAGGCTTGCGGTTTGATGTAATGTCTTACTTGACCAGTTAATACAAACAGAAAAAGCAGTCAGGCTTTCAGGCCTGTAAGCCCTTCTTCTGAAGACAAGTCTGAATCAGGCCTGAGAGAGAAGCAGCAGACTTTGAAGCTGAATATAAGTTAAGAGCGATTACATCTACCCATTTGCAGCATCTCTGGAAATAATGGTATTTGGTATCTATGGAGGGGTGGAAGATGATTCAATGGTTAATCTCCTAATCTCCACATGTAACTGTGCCCAAACTCTGGAAGGCTTAAACTGGCAAAACTGTGCAGCTCTGCCAGTACACTGATGTCAGTGGCAGGCAGAAAATATTCACTTTTCTTTGTGCCTGTTATGACAGCAAAAGTCTTGGCGTTGATGCATCAAAGGGCTTTTGTTCATTAAGTTCCTTGTATAATTATGCTACCTCTTAGGACAATGGGAACTAGCAGAACTCCTTTGATACACCCTGCTGACATCAAAGGGACTCTGACCTCATACTAGCAGCAGTAACTTTGCAGTGTGGACGAGGTCAGCTTGAAAGCAAAAGATAAGCTGAATTGGTTTTGCTTCTATGCACAATTCTACTATAAGGTTGATCACTGAATATTTTGCAACAGTTTGCAAAGAACCAAGCAAAACCAGGAAAGGCCAAAAGATAGCTACGTTTACTGCAGCCTCACTGTGTCTACGTTTTGGATTCATATTTTAAGAATTGTTTCTAAAGAAGGTGACTCTATACATTTATAAGACTCCTAGGGGGAGCATGATCATGGTTTCTTTTTTTGTAAACATCATTTAGGCATGCCATGTGATATAATGGTTAGATGGCTAAAAATGTTAAAGGGCTGCACAAAAGAGCACCACAAAATACCAAGAAACACTGCATGCTTGAACTCCCAAAACTCACCACTTTCAAGCAAGTTAAGTAGCAGCTCTTCATCTGCCATGGAGGATATACTAACGAGCCCACTACTCTCACTTTGGCATGAGAGAGAAGCATCATTCCAGCTCTTCTCCTCTTTATGAAGTCTGTAGCAGTTGCGATGGTGTGGGTACCAGCCAGTGTCACAACGAGTGGCATAATACTTCCATGTATCTTTTGATTGAGCATACAGAGTTCACATATATTAGATGGAATTGCCAAGGTTATGTTCATAACACATTCAGAGATTTACTTTTTTTTTAATCTTCAAATGTTGAAAACAGAGCTTTCCAAGATGACTTAAGGAGGCCAAAACACATCCTCTATGGAACATCACCTACCAAACAAACTGAAATTTCTTCCACTTTATTTGATGATTCAACCATGTGGGTTGCTGGACTAGTGCAAACACTAATTCAGTTTAAAACACATTGTATCTCCCTTACTACTTCTGAACATGATTCAGAGTCAGATAAAGCTTTTTCAGATGCATTACCTACAAAGAGTTTGGGTGAGTCTTTTCTCATTAGTTGAAACAAGCAGACAAACTTTCTTTTAAGCTGTTAGGAAGAAGTTGAACCCATGGAAGTTTCTCTTATCTAATAAAAGTTTATGTTAGAATAAACTTAATTCTGTGCTTAACTTGCAGACAGAATGGCAGTCTGAGACATTCTATATACTATACATCCTATACTCACTATATAAACACGAAGTATATGTATAATGCTTTTTTGGTACATCAAAAATACAGCACATCATAAAAGTAACTGCAAATTTTGAGCTGCATTTATAAAACTTTCTTCACTGTGTGCCCCTGATTAATTCTATCCACACTGAAAACCTATTTTCTAGTGCAAAGCCATGGTTCTTACTGTAGTATAAAGAGAATGAGCATTCTGATCATGTAATCAATTAAGTGCTATTTATAATAAAATTATTTGTTAGTTTTAAGACTCTCAACATGTTTTCCACAACTGAATTTAAACAGAAGAAAGTGTTAATACATCAGTTAAAATTAACTGCATTTAACTTAAACTGTCAAATTGACACATTTAATGCAGGTAAGACTCTGTTCTGCTGACTTTATATTCAGGTGGCTTCACTTGTTCTCCCTGCACACCCACAAATAAGATACAGTAACATTAAGAGACTTACCGAATGTTTCATGCTCTGTCTTATTTAAATATTTTTTGCATACAAAAGGCAATCCAGATTCACATAAATAACTGTGCCAGCCATACTTAGATTTTGGATTAATCACTGCACAATGATTTTCTCTAAAACGGTTATCAGAGATATCTGCAAACACATTTTTGAGAAGCACAAAATTATAAAAAATCAGTTCTTACTTGAAAAATGGTGTTGTAGGGTTCTCTGCATCTTATTGAATGAAGGTACAAACATCCCTGCACACCCAAACTTCTAGTAATATTACACCAATACTATGGACAGTCAAACACTGACTGTGAATTACATGTGTGGCAATGCCTCCTTGGCTGCAGCTATCAGATGAGAGGATGAAACAAGCTCTAGTGTCTATGTTATATCTGCTGGTGGACAGACATTAAAATGTAGCAAACCAAGTCACAAAGCTCATGTTAATGTGCTAATGTTAATTACAGCATGTTAACATAAACAAACTGAAACTCCTTCCTCCATGAAACCAGCTACATTTTTTAAATATGCAACTGGAATCTTAAAAATACCTTTAAAAGTAAATGACTAAAAGGCTAGGCCATTAATGCTGTGAACAGATCTAACCTCAATTATGTTACATCCCTAGAAAGGCTTTCAGTTAATGAATACAAACAAATATTTCAAAAACAACAACAACAAAAAATCACTTAATTCAATTTTTGAATATAGCTATAGGAACAGTAGTGTATGCTGCTATAACATATCCAAGAGGAACATCAAGTACTTGCTCTCCAGTTCACAAACACCAGTGGTGCTCCATCTGACCACTGCCAGCCAGCATCATCATCCAAGCGATTCAAGCCCATCCACAGCATCATGTCTGTGGCGTTTAACTGCCCTGAAAAAGAAAAAATAAACAAAGTATTACTTCATGCTTTCCCCATGTTTTAAAATATCTACAGACACATCTGCTCTCCTAACTTGTTACTTTGTTAATCAACACAAAGATGAAAAGGAATAAACTCAGAAGTTTGTAATCCTTAAAAGGCCACTCATCTTGCAAACCCTTCCTGCAGAAGTTGTTGCTGACCTTAGAAGTTAAATCTAAAACAAGCAGCTACATAACAGCTAGCCTGTTTCAGCTTTCCATAAACCAAACAACTTTCAATCCCTTTAACGTCTTGCAGGCATATCAAAAAGCTAATTAAATAATTTTTAAAACTTCCTGTTAGCTTATATCCTGCTATTGAAAACCAGCAATAATGGGAAGCAATGGGAAAGAAACCTAAGGCAACCTTTTGTGTTAGAGCTCTACCACCCATTCCTCAGCTTGATCTTCTCCACATACGCTAAAATACCCACAAAAGCCATGCTGTCAGAAGGCACTGCACATTTTTTCTGAGATGCTTGCTCCATAAATATTCTTGTCATTCACATTTGGTGAAGTCCAGCTTGCAAAGCAAACTTAAGATAAGAAAGGGACACCAGGGTATGTTGCAGAGAAGGTACATACCTGTATAATTTTCCAAATTAAACAAACACACTCCCTAACCACAGCTGCAGAATGAATGGGAGCCTTTGCGGGGAGGGAAAATTAAGAAAATTACACCCCTTTGTAACAGATACCACCACTTCTGCACTTCAGTTTATTATGGTGGGAACTTAGCTTCATCCTTGCTTTTTGAAATGGCTACTGTGATGTGTTACATGACAAAGCCCCACAGGCAGCAACGGGAGAGACACCACACAGAGTATTAAGCCTTAAAATGTATCGCTTTGCATGGGTAAAGAGCAGACCTAACTACAGGTTTCCTACAAGGTACCCAGAGAAATGCCTACTTACTGCTTAGGTTACTTATGTAGTTCTGCTCTTCGGGGTCGGTGACACTCAGCAGGTCTCCTCCTTGCAGCTGACAGGTGGCCCGTGCCTCACGCCAGCTCAGCACAGACACAAGGTTGAACTGGTAGCAAATGTGCGTGTCGGGGTTCGTCTTCCAAAAACTGTCACAGCCACTCTCTACTCAAAAACAGACTCGTCATCAGCACTCCCAAGTCTCCAAACTAATCAGAAACATAACACCTTGAACAATTCAATTAATTAATGACAGCAGTATCCCAATGGAAGCACGATTACAATCACCTTTCCTGTTCCTTTGTTAAAGAACATGCGGAAATAGGGCAGTAATGAAGTAAAATGTTGCTCCACATTTCATGTGGTTGATAAAATACTCAGGAACTGATCTGCAGCTGGTGGTGATTTTCACAGCTCTCATAAAGCCGAAAGAGTATGTTTTAATTTTTTCCAGATAACCATTTGTTTCTAAAGCTGAATGTTGAAATATTCAAAATATGAACACCTCACCCAACTTGTGGAGCAACAGTCACTGGATCTGTTGAATCTTGTACTCAAGAGAATAAATTTACTATAATTACAAAGTATAAGCAAGGCTGAAAATGCCATCTATTTTAACAGTTGCCCAAAAAAACCATTACAAAGACGTATTTACAGCTATTTTTAAGATGCTTAAGAAATATAGTTTGAGCAGGGAAGGCTTTTCCAAACCACTTCTGCTGCTAGAAGATACTATTTTGCTTATTTACGCAATAAGCTGGAATATTCACAAATATTATACATCCAAAATCTATTCAACAGCAAGTATTTTCAAAGCTATTGTTTCTTAGTGTTTTAGGCCCAAGATGTGTCCAGGCAGTGCATAGAAGAAAAGGAATGTGCAAGATGTAATGTTGTCAAAAGTAGAATGTGACTCTGCAAGACAACCCTCACTTTATATGTTTCAGAAAAGCTGCCAATATATCACTGGGACAGAGTACAGAGATGTTTAGCTGCAGGGTAAGGTCAATGGGCTGCACAGAGTAACATCCTTCTGCTCATTCCCTCTAGTTTTGCTTTTGGGACGAGGACTTGAGTCTCCAAGGGTCAAACATGATAAATTATGATAAAATTTGATAAAGCCTGCCTTTGTGTTTTTTAAAGAGACATTGCGCTCTAACAGAAGAGAAGTAATCCAAAAACAGAGTGCATCCTAGTATTACTAATAAAGAACAACCTCTTAGGGGGTAGGAGGAGAGAGAAAATAAGCAACATCTTACCAGCATTTGGACAAAACCCCCATTTTTCATCTTGTTCATAGTGAGTTGTTGTGGCACACCAGTCAGATTCCTTTTCATCTCTAGTACACTCATAATACCACTTGTTCTTATATTTAAAGGGAAAAACACATGGGAAACCAAAAGAATTTCCCAGCAAGGTGTATGTTTCTGGAAAAACAAAATGCAGGGATTAAAAGAATGCAGACCACAAAAATTCCTTCATTCCCATATGCATTTACCAGCAATGATAAAAATAAAGTCTCTAAAGCATTCCATATAACATAAATAATATAAATTGATAACACAGCATTCCATAAAACATAATTTCAATAAAGAGGTTCTGGAAATAACAGTTTATGAAATTTGTCACCATAAGATACATTCCTGTAAATTACTGCAATGGAAAAAAAAACAAACAAAAAAACACAAATTCCAAACCTGATCAATTAACACATAAAGACTGTGCTTATGTTTCAGAAACACTACATAAAGCAATAGTTAGCTAAATCAGTCCATGCTCAGATGCAAATTTTACTTATTTGTTAGCCTATGACAGACAAGTAATTTAGCATTATTTCCCCTGCTCCTCCCACTCTTTATAAAGTGGATTTCTAATGTGTTTTCCATTCTCTTTGTCATTCTATGGGAAAGGAAATTTAAAAGACAAAGGAATACTAAATACACTTTAAAAAATAAGCTTTTATCCCACAGAGAATAATAATATAGCTAAAGAATTGATGTTACATACATCTGTTGTCACAATCAATGCCTTCCAAAATATTTAAATATTTTCCTCTTGTACTTTGGGGATCAAAATATTGAGAGAATCCAGTGCAACTGAAAGCTGTAAAAGGTTTACCTCAGTGAGTGTCTCCTTAATCTAAGATCTTTTAAAATAGGTCAAAGAACCACAATCACACTTGGAATGAAACAAAAAATTGTTTGTCAAAGATCCCAGGTCACTAGCTTTAAGATCAAAGTCCTTCAACTGCAAAATCATTACATACTGCCAGGTTCATAGAGGTTTCTAAAGTTAATGGCTGGCTGTGCATATATAAAAGAACAGTTTACACATTGTAAATCCCCTTTAAAGCCTTCTGATACGAACAGATTATACAAAGAACAGGTCATTCCTCCTCTGTCTGCCTGCTACCATGCTGCTAGCTATAGAGCTACAAGGGATTACCTCAGTCCTGGTAAGAAACCAAATTCAATAGCCACAGATTTCTTACCATAGTTATATATATATATTTTTATATTTATATATATATATATATATCTGTTTTTCTGTTTTTCTTTGAAAGTAACTGTCCTCCCTCCCCTAACCTGGTGGATTAACAGGCTTGCATTTGCATATGCATGAGCTAGGAAGGAAGGGGGAAAATGGAACCTGGAGGTGAAAGAGATTTTGCCATGGAATTAAATACTTTGGTCCTGAAACCTGGCTAGAAGTGCCTGCCAAAGGTCAATCCTCTTCTCACAGATATGTCAGTATTACAGCTAGACCAGGTCTACTTCCATTTTGTTATGTGTACACAGCAAGTGTTGGGCCTGAAGTATAAATTCCACTAGGTTTGAAAGAAGAGGTTGGACGCTGCAGTGCTTTCCCAGTTATCAAAGGTCCCAAAAGTGCTTTAGTGAGAACAGAGGCCAAGCACAGCTACACCTACAGAGGAAACCACTGAGACCAGATCTGCAACCCAAACATCCAGTTCAAAAAGGGAGAATTAACAGCTCCAGTCTAAGACACACTGTGCAAACATGAGGTCCTTCCCTCTACAAAAATGCTGAGGAAGGGGTCAAGGTGTGTGGTTGCTGCTGTCTGTAGTCAGTGGGTTTGTCTTAGCCCTTATACCTGGAAAACTGTTCAGGTCTGCAGACTTGGATCTTGAGCTACATTCCTACACCTTCACTAGCTGTATAGCAGGATTAATCAAAATTCTGCTTTTCACAGTTTCGCATGTTCAGAAGCCACGTGCTGAACGTCACAAATATCAGTCCATGCACACTGCAATTATAGACTGATTTTCACTGATGGGAATTCCAAATCCTTTCTTATCTCTCTTTGGGTTTATCTGATAATGAAAGCTGCAGGACAGGCAACAGCAAATCCTTAGTTCCCCTTTTTTATTTTACAGAGGATTTAAAATGAGTTTTTCCTGGTTTGCAAGGATACTGGTGGGTTTTGGGGCCCATTTAATGAAAAAAAAATCAACAGTGTGGTATGCTCACCTCAACCATCATGGCTAGGCTTCGCGAACGAAGATTTGAGAAGGGCTCTACCCATACTTGCTACAAGCACGCTGATCACCTCAACCATTGCATAAAAAAATCACAAACTCTGAGTCTCAAACCACAATAGAGACTGGAAAGGATCATAAGCACCTCAACTCTCTTCAAAAGAACTTCTGAAACTTTTCCTATCTACGTTTTGATGACAAAATTTTATTTTTACCTTGAAATGGGTGTTCACAAACGCCTTCATCATAGGACATATACTGTTTCCACTGACAAGTAGATTTTTTTCTGGCCACAATATGTTTGCTGTTTTCAACAGCTAATTTGTACTCTGATACACCAACTAATGCTTTTCCATCACAGTTCCACCATAACGAGTATTGAGTTGAATCACATTCAAGCATACTTAATGGCTGTTCTGGTCTATTGATGCTCAGTCCAAGACAGGTACTTCTCCCTATGTTGAAAAGACGATGATTGGATACCCATTTCCATAACATGTCTTCTGAGGGCTGACTGCAGTCTTCCAGAACAAGGCCAGCTGCCTCTGCTTTAATGCACAAGTTGGAATCTTCACTTTGGATAATAAATATCCCTTTATCTGTAGGGGAGAAAAAACCTCAGACTTTCAGACTGTACAATACTGCAATTGAACAAACAGTATCAAAAGACAAATGTTTTAATTGGAGCTATTTAGCAATGAAACCTGAAAATATCCATCAGAATAACTGGCACTTCAAAAAACAAACTGGTCTAAATTTATTTCCAGCTGAGTTTTTAACATGTGGAATACTTGCAAGCTCACAAAAATAAGGCTAAGCAATATTTCTCATGTTGGATAGACAAGAAAAAAAAATGGGGTGCCCAAAAACATTAGTCATGTTTAAAGGAAAAAACCCACTGGTCACTGAGAAATACCAGTAATGGAGCAAAGGTTTAAATGTTACATGAAGTGCTGTATATTGTAAAATAAGTCCCTGGAGTAGATTGGAGAGTGCAATTAAAATAAAAGCTAAAAAGTGTAAGGTTGACATGACCATATTCTCTACTGTATTCATTCTTCACTCTCTGCGACTATAGAGACAGAAAGAAAATAAGTTGCATTGTAAATAGGATACAGAAAGGGTAATATTTATCTATACCATGAGAACTGGTGGCCAAGGGTTAAAGTATGCCTTCCCTATTGGATGCATATTGTTCAACTACACGACTACTCTCCGCAAGAGCAGATGTTGTGCAGTTAGCCTGATATCCCAGATTTCTTGGAATCATGCAGAAATTCACTGAACCGTGTGACATCACATTATAAGTATGTAAAAAAAGTCAGCTATTTAATGTCTTAGGAGCAAAAGTTTAAGAGCATATAGACTGAAAAAAAATGAGGGCAGCTGAGAAACTGGAAATCAGCAAAATATAAGCCTGATTCACTCTGAAATCCAATGGTAATTAACCTAGGGAGTTCCTCTTACATTATATGTGAGATACTTATTTTATGCCTAAGGAGATTATGCACTGGAAACCTGAGCAGCACTTCTTCCATTTTGCCTTGAAATTTTACAGTGATAACTTCTGCCATGTGTACTTTCAAACAGCTGTAATTCACAACACTTAACATACTGAAGCACTAAATATTATAATAATAATAATAATTATTATTATTATTTTAAAAGTCCTCTCAAATTAATGTAGGCCACAAATAAAGTATGAGATGCAGACATCTACCCAGATGCTGTGTCTGAGTTTAGTACAAACAGCTTAGCTGCAGCCCTAAAACAGGAAGACTTTTCAAGCAGCAGTGTCACAGTGCTGCACAACAGACATAAAAGAGATCAGCTCAACAATATAATGTATACACAACAAGCAGAAGAGAGAGATTGTGAAGAGGTTTTCAGTTACAGATTCTGAATAGAACACATCAAGCAGCCTGACTTACAGAGAGGTGGCACTGCAGATTGTATCACTAGTAAAAGGGGCTGTTTACCCTGTGGCTATAGGGATTGGGAGCCTGCGTAGGAGCAGGAGCAAGCCCTTCTGATGGGCAGCAGGTGAGAACCAGCCTAATGTATGTAATTGCATCTCCTAAGCACCTGGCAGTTCTCCTATGTTAAGTCCTTAACCACGGGGGGGAGAGCAAAATTCCTTTAATCCACTGTATCTCTATAGCTCTCATATGTCTGAGCTCACTGAAAAACCATCACACACTGTGACAGATACCCAGTTTGGCCCTTTGCTTTTGAGTTTTCTGTGAAGTTTTGTAGTTTGTGCTGGTTTCATCCTTCTTATCCAACCCAATCTTCCATGGGCAACACATATAGTCTCTATCTATAGAGACAGAAAGGGCTTCTGCCTCTCACGCTGTGGTCTGCCTTTCCCACAGCGGTCTTATTTTCATTGACCAAGAAAATATACTGTTAATAACAAACTGGGATAACTAAAAACGGGGATGTTACCACCAGTAAACACTGATCAATGAGGTTAATTCACCATGATACTGGGATTCACACTTAGATGGACTTCTCCGTCAAACTCGCAATCTACCTCCACAGCACACGGTAGATCCCATACAGCACCCTCCTGGGGTGGGGGGAGCAACACCACAACCCAGAGGTGAAGGATTCTCAGCCTTTGAAACCCTTTATCTGTAAGGCTCTTAAAAGCTGCAATGACTGCTGAGAAAAGATAAGGTTCTTGCGCAGCCTACAGAAATAACCCAGCTGATCTCTGTGAATAACGTCCTTTTTTTCATTCTGCAGCAATTTATGCCAAGAACAGCCAGCCCATAATTCTTGAGCCACACAGCCCTCTTCCAAATGCAGTTTCCCATTTCCCAATTACAAAATGCAATTGACAAGAGAGCTGTGCTGGCCTGAGGACTACCATGTAATGGTAGAAGTAGCTCATGGCAGAAGTAACACATGAGAGATGGCAGACTCAGTGACAACTTCACAGGCCCCAGCTCAGCTCTGTCTTCTAGTGGGGCAATGAGACAACTAGAGCAACATCAAGCCTTGGGAAGGCCTCCAGGCTCCTCTCCTTTCAGCTTGCAAAGCTACACCATCCATTTTACAGCTGCTCACAAAGAAGGGTTTTGTTACAAAGCTCCTGATGTCAGGGAGAATTCTGTGCCCAAAGTCCTGCAGACGAAGAGCTGCAACTGGGGCTCTGTGAACTTGCAAGCCCCAGAAGACCCAAGGAGAAAAGGAGATAGTCTATGGTTTAGAAATTGACAAGGTGGAGGGAAGCCTTTGGAAAACTGCTGCTTCTCCTACATCCTTCCTCTCCACAGAAGGACAAGGTGACAAGAAACAGACTTCCAGAAGCAAAGCTTGAAGCTGACGTGCAGCCCCAGATGAAGAACTGATTGCTGACCAGTACCTCCAAGTTCCTGTTTACTTGGGTTCAACGGAGCTAATTGGGAATAAACTGCTGCAAGAAAACTAAGAGGATAAGATATCTTCATTTCCTTCCTCCTTACCTCCCACTTCCTTCCCCCTCACCCAAAAAAAACCAGTGAGAATTGCTTATGTGGTAATAGAGAAAGTAACTGGAATTTACTGGAAAGGAGAAAAAAACCCCTATCTATATTTTCTCCGGGTGCAAGGACCGCAATGGGCAGCAGAATAATTAGCAAGGAGGACGCACAGGGCGCGGGGCAGCTCCCCAGGGGCTCAGTGCGCGTCCCCTGCCCTTCGTCCCCCCAGATCCCCTCACCGCTGTGCGGACCGGGCTGACCCCCGGCAGACGCACGTCCTGGAATCCCGCAGCGCCCGGAGCCGCTGGGGCTTTGCAAAGCCCGGGGCGGGAAACCCGCGCGCTTCCCCCGGGCTGCGCAGGGCGGGACGGGGCTGCGGGACGGCCGGGGGCGAAGGGGCCGAGGGCTCCGCCCGGCACGGAGCGCGGCCGCTGCCGCTGCCCCCGCCCGCCGCGCCGCCCCCACCCCAGGGCCGACCCCGAGGCGTCACTCACTCCGCAGGGAAGGCACCGCGTCCCGGCCGAGGGCGGCGGTGCCGTGGCCGCCCAGCAGCAGCAGCAGGAGGAGACAGCAGGCCGGGAATCGCAGCCGCACCGCCGGCATCGCCCCGGCGCCCGCCCGCCGCTCCGCTCCACTCCGCCGCGGCACCGGACCCGCCGGCCCTGCCCTGGGGAGGGCAGAGCAGCGATCCCACCCCGGCGGCGAAGGAGGGGCTGCCCCGGGGGCCGGCCCGCGGGCCCCCTCCGTGAGGTTGCGGGAGGAGTGCGGGGGGAGGTCGCGGCGTTCGTGCTGGAGCTGCCGTCGAATTGTCAGGGTCCCCCCCTGTCCCCGGGAGGGGGACGGCGCCAGAGACCGCTCGGCCAGGTCGGGAAATGCTGCTCTTGCAGCTCGGGCCGTCTGCCCGCGTCAGAGCTGTGGGTTCAAGCGGACAAACCGCTCTGTATTAACCTTTTCCATCTGAAAACACTTAACTTTCTCTTCCCTACACTGCGGGTACTTTTATCTTAAAAAGAAGTAGAAAACACATGGAGACACTGGAGGTGGGAGGCCTCTGTCGGCACAGTCCGTGTTCCCAGGTTCGCGGCTCTGCCCTTGAGCATCCCCGCTGCCCTAGACACCATTCGGAGACTTGGGTTTCTAGCCAGGTCAACTTGTGCACTCGAAGTCATTTTAATTTTAGGCATGAGAAAAATATAGCAATTGTCCATTTTGTTAATCTCTGTCTTCAGTGGAATATTTGCAGGAGCTGCCCTCCTTGGGTTGAGTTTCAGTTTTAGGGAAAGCAGAACCTCAGGGTTAAAAATAGAGTAAATTTACTGGAATCAGCAGAAAAGTTCGTTTTTAATCTGCAAAAGCATGTTTCCGCAGTGTTCTTTATGCATAGCAGATGAAAACGTCTATAAATATGTACATAAATGTACATTTATATACAATTCAGTGTTGGAGCATAACTGAAGTGAGACTCTGTTCCCCCATGTCCACCTCAATCGTGATGCAAGGATGGAAAACAGAGGACTTTGTGCTTGGGGAAATTTCTCTGATAGTTCGGTAGAAGAAAGAATTGAGATGCAAATGAAGCGAAACACTTACAAAGAAGCACATAAGTGGAGGAGTTTCTTCCCATTTAACAGATGATTAAAATGTCTGGCAGAGAACAAGCAGTAGGAAATAATGCTGAACAAGCTGGTCCAGGAGTGATCTGACTTTGCAAGACAGAGGGGTTGTAACTCTCATGGAACTGTGATGTATCTCTTCTCAGGAATGCTGCAGCTTTCTGAGATTTTCAGGTTCTGAGGAAGAAGGTTGTTAATGAGCCATTTATGAAAATCTGGCCACTCATAACTCTCTACATCTCTTTAGGAGTGTTTGGCCACTGCTTTGAGTACTGATCTCCAGAAAAAGGCTCTCTTACTCCAGAACCTGCTGCTGGGTCACACTGAAAAACTGTGCACAGTACATAGTACAACATTTTAAAAATATTGGGCCAGTGAGCAGAAATGAGGCTGGCTGGGCTGTGGAAAGGAGCCCCACTTCAGGTGGATTTTTCTGCTGATTTCAGCAAGATGAAAATAAGCACATTCTGATTGTAGATTCCTAATAATTAACTTAATAGTAGTGTTTTTGTAAATATTTTGCTAAGTGCAAATTAGCAACTTATTCATTCTGTGTGGTTTTCCTTGCTTTTTTTCCCTTTGATATTCAGATCTGCCTCTTTGACTAAACAGTTTTTTGCTGTTCTGAATCTATTTTCTTCTGGCATAACTGGTAAATTATAGTGCAGCTGTAGTTATACTTACTGACTTAGCTATTTATAGATAAGCTATACCTACTTAATTACAATAATAATGACTGGCATAGTGGCCTCTAAAATCAACATGGTTGGCAACATTTTCTGAAGTGAACTTGATGGCAATTTATATTACCTTGCACATTAAATGGTATAGCTTTCCAATTTTATTTGGTTGTTTTTTTTTGTTGGTTTGTTTCTTTTTTTTGTTTGTTTGAAGCTTTACATAAGCTCTTTCAAGGCATTTGCTGTAGTGATTTGGCTCCTTTATTTTATTTTCTGTCTGGAACCCACTTTTTGTAAATATTTTTCTCTTCATTTCTTTGTTGATGATCTGTTCTCTTTCTTTTTTTGTATCCTTTGACCCATATGTATAAATATAAATATATATATACTTGTTTGAGTTGATCTACCCTTGCTATTTAGGTACTCTAAACAGATGTTCAGTTCCTTCCCCTATCTTTTCTTAGACATTAACTTCAACTTCTCTATGAGATTCATATAGAGATATGAACCCAGTGAATGTTCATTACCTGCATCCACAAATAAAAACCTTTATCAAATTCACACTAATTCAATTTACTCACAAACCCATTGCTTTTCCAAGGCACACACAGAGATCCAAGGTGTCATGTGCTCAGAGCTCCTCACACAGTAATTTCTGTTCATAATCTGAAGTCTGAGGACAGGTCTCATTTTTTTCCCAGCCAGAATGGGAATACTAAACCAGAGAATACCTAGGAAGGAAAAGCAGGACAAAAATTCCTTGCATTAGCAGTGCCCAGCAGGCAACACTGCCATCTTTTCTTGGAGAGACTGTCATACATACTGTTTGGTTCTGAAAAATGGCTTCTTGAATCAACTCCCAAGTTTGCATTCATCTTCCCTTTTACTCAACTTTTCTGTTTACCCCAGAGACAGAACTACTTTCATTTATCAACTCTGCCAGTCCAGTTACATCTGGTTATAGTCACTACAGGCACTGCTTCCACCTTTTCTACCTCCTCTACCACATCCCAGCCATGAGTAGTGACACCCTTTTTCCTTTGGCAGTCCCAAGTGGTGTCTGTTACACCCCTCCATTCTCCCATGCTCCCAGATAATTGCTGTGGCCATCAGGCTCTGCAGTTTCGGTCTCTGTCAGCTCACATTGGGTAAGGCAGCCTTACAGGACAGTCTGTACTGGCCAGCTTCAGGTTAAGTGAAATCTCTGGTTGTAAACTGCCAGTTTTTGGTAGGAATTTTACTGTTACTATATGTCAAACTGGCTTTTGATTGGCAAATATATATCAAATAATATCAAATTCAATAGAAGACAAACTTTCATGTAATTGATGTGGCATTAAGGGAAAAAATCCAATATCAAAATACTTGCAATAAAACAAAACTGGTTAAATGGGGCCAGAGCAGCCTCTGGCCCATCCCTGGTAGTTTCTCAAAGCCTGTCTTTGCCTTATCCTTTCCCTTTGAGATCCTTGGCTGTGTCATTCCTCTTTTGGTGTAGCACAGTTGTTTTTTTGCCCTTCTTGTTAGCACTGTTATAGTGAAATCTATAGAAGAAGGAAACCACTTTTGCAACAAGATTTGCTACAAAAGAATGGCTAATGTGGTCCCAAGGAAAGCTATTATTATTACACTGTAGACTTGTTTACTAAAAATAACCCTATGATTCATTGTACTCAATACCAGAAATTACCCATACTGTGATCAAAAAATATTATCCTTTTTAAACAAACCAATAAAGCCATCATATGATTGTTTAGCAGAAATTTTAGAATAAATATGAATTCCATAAAACTTTCACAACTTTTGTTTCCTGACTTAAATGCATCTGAGAGACTGATAATTTTCTCTCAGTTTGTTAATTATATGCAAACAAGTTTGTAGGCAAAACCATTCCTGATTTCTTTGGCCAGATGTGTCCTCCACCCTGTGCTAACCAATTCCTTAAGCACAGACCATCTTTATTTTATCAGAACAAAGCTTCATAAATCAGGGTAATAGGGAATATGCAGGTTCCACTTTAAAAAACGAGAAAAAGTGGAAGTGAACATAGATTCTTACAATGAAGCATTGAGGAAATGTTTTGTTAGCTCCAGGAAAACTGATGCTTTCAAGAAGCACAGGACCCTCAGTCAGTGTGTTCCCTCCATAGCAGTGTGCCCACGCTGCCCCACCAGCCAGCACTTGGGCTCCGGTGGCCACCACCAAAAGATCTCTTGCCAGGTCCCATTGCCTCTCTGTGCATCCTGCTGATTTAATGGTGCCTAAAACAGGAGGGGCAGTGAGCCTGGCTTGGCTTCGGTATAACCTGGAGTGGCCAGAAGTGAAGGTTAGGAAAATTTAAGCTTTGTTATTCACTAAAAGATTATGAACAACTCAGAAATAACAGACAACCACCAACAAAGCACTATCAGTCTAGTCAGAAAAAAAAACTTGACCGGGTGTAACACCTGGAACAAAGATATATGCTTGCAGAAATTCTAGGGGATAATGTGTACTCAGTGCTGACATGATTTCACAGGTTGGAACAGGGTGTGCCTTTGCACCTTGTACGCTCCTTCTCACAAGAGCTGATCCTCTTTTCTCAGCCATGCATACATATTTAGACTCTGAAATCCCACAGGTAATATAAAAAGACTTACTGTGTTCATTAGAGAATATGCACACAGAGAAACCCAAAGCAATTTTACTTTGCCTATTTCCTTTAACCAGTTTCTTCTCAGGTGAAATAATCCCTGCATTAGATACCTTACTTTGTATTCAATAAAAATGCATAGGCATAGATTTTTTTTGTTATCTTCAATATTTTGCTTTGTAGCAAATCAGATATACAGTCAGCCTCATATTTGAGGATTTAAGAACCATCATTCAAGAAAGTCTGGAAACTAGAGCTCCCATTGGCTTTGCACAGCGATAGAATCTCTCTTCATTACTTATACAGTTATATTTTATCTTATATCAGCACATACACATATGGGTAGGCACCAGTGAACCACTTGTTAAAATTTTTGCTCTCTTCTCTGAATTTTATGCTACTAAGAAAATAGAAAAAGCAAAAATATTTTTCATTTGCATTCTTCCATGTCCAAATTGAAAATTCATTAAAAAGCACAAGAAATTAAATTGGATTAATAAGACTGAGTGTTTCGAGTTCCTGCTTATTTCAGGAAGAAGGGGAATATCATTTGCTGGTGGATTTTTTCCTATGAAGAGTTAGACATGTTGGTCAGAACTGCATCATTTTTCTGCAGGGAAATTCTGTTTACTAACATGAGGCTGAGTTTACCATCAGATGCAAATGTGCAGTCAAAAAACTTAAATGCTTTAATTGTAATGGGGTAGAGGCTGTGACTATGAGTCACTGAAAGGTTCTAACCAATGGGAACAACTTGCCATCAATGCTTTTAAACCAGTTTAGCCTTTGATATAGAGAAAGAAAGGAAAATTTCCAGCTATTAAACTTTTTCCTCCTTTATGTCCTCAGAATGTCAACATGAAAAACCTCAACATTTAATCTAAATTAATTAAATTAGTGACTGTACAGTAAACCACATAAACTGAATTAAACATGTTCCGACATTCTTGTCCTTACTTTGTAATAAAGATTAACTTGATTAAGACCAGTCCAATTCAAAGTGAATGTTTTCTACACAGTTTTCATGTGGATTATCCAGCCCATAATAAATTCCTCAATATATTTCCAAATTAATTTCTTGAGTGCCACTAGTGGACAAACCCTTAGGGACAATCTTTCCATAAGCTCTTTTGGGAATCTGACAAATCACCCACAGTATATAACGTGTTCAGGGAGAAGCATCTTTAATAAAGCTCTCTATGTGCCAGATTCAGAGAGCATCAGAACGGGAATCCAAAAACAAGGCTGGCTGGTGGGGCAGCGTGGGCACACTGCTATGGAGGGAACACACTGACTGAGGGTCTTGTTTTTGGATTCCAAAACATGTAGTCTATGGGAAGGAGATGCTGAACTGTTCTCTTGCAGCTGCTGTCCCAGACATGTGGCAGCAGTAGCTGCAAGTACTCTAGGATGAATACAAGAAGTACAGATTGCTGTTTCTGAAAAAAGGCAAATTCTCTTGACTGTGGTTCATTTGATTTTCACCTTGTGTACTGGCCTGTGACACAGTACCACAGAGGACTTTTTCTCCCTGCAGATGCTGGTGAAGGAGAGGGAAAGTGTGTCAAAAGTTTTTCTAACAATTCATTGATATTAAGGACTCTTTTGCTAGGAGTCTTAGGCTGAACTGTTCTTTTCTGCCTGGATATATTGTCAGGTTTAATTTCTCCATCACTTCCGAGATAATTGGGGATTTTTGTTGTTGTTGCTGGACTTTGTTTGTTTTTCATACTTGGTTTGAGGGGGCTGATTCTTTTTTTTTTTTTTTTTTTTTTTAAATCTGTAATTTTTCAAATCGACCATAACCTAAAATAGAAGCAATCAAGGGTTTGTTATGTGGTAATTACATTATAATTATAGGTCTGGTTTTTAAGTTGTTGAGAGTTTTGGAGAAAGCAAATTTTAGCCTCAACTAAGAAGATCAGCAGGGGATACAATTTGCCTTTTAACTGGAGTTATTAAATTTGAAGCCTGATGTTGGTACACAGTTTTCCAAACACAGGTAACATCTAACTGCTGAACGTTAAATAGAAATTTCCTATTTCTTCACTTTTAAAAATTTAGTTTTATTTACACTCCTACCTATTCTAAATATGAAAACAGTAATGAAAAAAAAACCCTGTTGAGGAAATTTACCCTGTGGGAAAAATGGCTTTTAAAAAAAAATGTATCATGTCTTGAGAACCTCATCTATCTGAATACAGAAACGTCTTGAAATTGTCCAATTTGATTAAAAATAAGTCTAAATTGTAGTGTAAATACCATAAGGAAGGAAGAGGTTGCAATGAAAGGGTTCTCTCTGCTTTTCTGTGATGAATGGTTGAAAAGAGAGACCAACCCAGCTTCAAGAAACAAAGTCCTTGTCTACCAAGATCTTTGAAAAGCCAAAGCATTTTTTTAATCTACACCACCTGTCATTATTGTGGGTTAGTTGCTATCTGTCAATGTTAGCTGATATGCAGATTAGTAAAAACACAGAGGTTTCTAAGCATGACCCAGAAAGTCTTGGGGTAGAATACATTCCAAATTACTTGCCATGAGTACACATTATGGAATTGTATCACTATTTTTTCCCAATTCACTGTGAAATGCAAGAGAACATGATCTTACTGCATGCCTGGAGAATACAACAGACTTTAAATATGGTTCTATTAAGGATGGAGAAGAATGTTCTCTTCCTCGGAGCAGGAAATCAGCAAACATCAAAATACATGACTTTTCATTAGAGGAAAAAAAGGAATTAAAAGGGATTGAAGAGAAAATACGCACCTTGCTGTGTATCTCTTAAAAGACATTGCTGCTGTTATGCTTATGGAATGGATAGATCTTTAGCTTTAAACAAGTTGTGCAATTTAGGGATCATTGTACAAAAGAATCATAGCATGGTTTGGGTTGGAAGGGAACTTAAAGATCATCTAGTTCCAAAGAATGAAAGAATGCCATGTCATCAATCAGGATTCCAGAAATAGGTTGCTTACAACATTCATCCACTAATTCATTTCCTTGAAAAGTAAAAGGATAACAAATGAAAAAAATCCAGACATTAAATTGCTGTCTTAAAAAAGGGGAGAGGAGTTATAAAATAATGTCTAGGGTATGCCAAAGCATGAAAAATTTGCTAAGATCCATAAAATTATGTCAATACAATGATAAAGACAGTACCAAAATAGAAAATGTAGAATGAACAGTAAAAAAAAAAATATTAAAAATGCATTCAATTTTACAATCTTTATTCAAGGTCAAATATCTCCTTTTTTTACACAAACAAGTTGAGACATTTACAGGTTTCTTTCAAATGAATGAAGCTAAAAATTGTCTTTTTTTTTTTGCTTTTAAACTGTGTGTGGTAATTCATGGGACAATAACTCCCTTATGCCCACTGCAAAACAGGCTTGAACTTCTACATGAAGACAGATGAGACATTGATGAGAGTATTGCACTTAACATCTCAGCCCTGTATCCCAGACTTACTACTCACTAGTTATATTACAAAACAAAGTTGAATGCAATCTGGACGTGTAAAATACTGACCAACATGCAACTTTTATAAATCAAACTAAAATTATCCATTTAACATACATCATTGAAATTACTATACTACAGGATGTAAAAGATACACAAATACCCTAAAATTACTAAGGATTATTCTTTAATTCAGTTTAACTCTTCAGTGAATAGTAGTATTACTATTAAAAATGTTTTGTCCACTGTCAAGGTCCAGCCTCAGGTCAAAACAGTATTTGTGAAAACAGCAGAAAAACTTTTTCATCCCACTCACCACACACAAACCCACTTATAGTTTGGTGGAGGAAAATAGAATAGAGAGAAAAATATGAACCTTGGTACAAATGCTATAAGAAGAAAGTGATATAGTTAATACAAAAGGATGAATTCCACTCTTGTCTCTAGGGTGAATGCCAAGTAAGATCTTGAAAGTTCTTGAAATCTGGGAGTTTAGTTGAAATCTAAATTAATGTTGGTAAAAGGATAGCTCATATGAATAAGTCTAGTTATTTGATATCCCTCAATAACAGAAACCTTCCTCACCAAGCCCTTCTGTTTTCTCTCTTCTCATGGATTTTTAATGATTTGAGTGATTTCCATCCTGACAGTGTGGAAGGTGCACAGAAAATTTATAGTACAGTCGTTGCAGCGGGGAAACTGCAAATCATAGTCCCTGATTTTGTTACATCCTTGATAATTCGGAGAGAGATTGTTAGGAGGAGTAATTGGACTGTAAACATCGTCTACATACCAAATTGGATCTTTGCTGATGACCGGAAGATGCAAGTGATGAGAAGAGAGCAAGAAGCTTTGTGAAACAAAATCTCCTGTAGGAACATGGAATGTAGACCACCAAGTGTTTGATATGAAATGCAAACACCACCTTTTTAATAACATTTGAATACCGAGATATGTTGCAATATTGAAATTGGTGACCTACAGAAGAAAGGCTTTCAACCCTAATATTGAGCAGCAGAATCAGCCTTCTCAGAAACAGAATTTAAATAGTATTTAATAAACAGTATCGATTTATATTACTTAAAAATAATAAAAATATTTTCATTTCTTTCAGAGAAAGTTTATAATTTGATGACTTCTGTGTGAGAAACAAAAGAGTAACAGATAGCTTACATGGTCTAAATCCAGATTTCCCTAGTCCTTAGGCAATCTTGACCCAAGTGGAATCTGAGCAGATTCAGGGGCCAGTGTTGCATCCCATGAGTTTATCCACGTGCCAGGGAAACAGGATTTGATCCCACATGTAACTTTCACTGACATCCGTGGGAGTCTAGTGGTTGGAAGGGCCACAGATGTAAGCCTTTATCTGTGCACAGTTTCCATGATGGGATATGCAGGAATATCAAAGAGTACAGATGTGAATCTATTCCAGTTTAATGACAGACATAATTTCCATCATACTGCTATAATTTTGTATTTACTACATGAATATTGCATCACCTTATTTCCAAAGGCATCTGATACTATTTCTCTTTGCACAGAAATATATACTATAAGTTCTAGCCACTAACAGAGAGAATTAATCAGTTTGTTTAAACAAAACAATCTTTGTAAATGAAAACTAATAGTTTCACTGAAACTAGATCCTCATCTGTAGCCACTGACTCCAGCAGGCTTTGGATCAGGCCCTAAAACAGGCATGGGTCAGTCTCACTTCCAGAAACTGTAGAAGATATGGAGACTGAAGTTGCGCAGACTTTGTAAATATTTATTACAAAATAGACATAATTTTTTTAGATCAAATATATGATTTACTACAGGGAATGTATGAGATTGTTTGTGACTGTGTCAATGTATCTTTGATTTCTAAGTTTTCTTTTCTAAGTACCTTCATATGTACTTTTTGACCATCTGTTTCAGAGTAGCAAAAAATGCATCTGAAAAGGGGTATTAAAAAGTGAAGTGTATTAGTGATATTTTACAATAGCCCAATGTTGTAATTTTTCTGTGCCAGCGTGTTAGCTGCTTTTTGGGGCTTTTTACCTGGTGCTATGCATGGTTACAGCACTACAACTTAAATATTTATGGCAAGTCATCAGTAACTAGCTAAAACTGAGATGTAAAAATCTTCATTAACATAATGTAAATTAATATGAAGTGAAATCCATAGATCTGTTTGTTGCTTAGTTGGGGGAAAATAACCAAATCAAACCAAAACCAAATAACCCAGCCCAAAAGACGTGATCATGTTATTTCACACGTGACTAAACAGTTTGGCTGCTGGGCACTGAATTTTGGATATATCAGCAAAAGAGTATTGTCTTTGTGTGTGATACTGAGTATTTTGTGTGAATATTTTCTGCATGTCAAGGGCTCCTGAACCAGTTTGTGTGATGGGCCAGCATGTGAGGTTTATTTTGAGTTTCTAAACCATTCACAGGATGCAAATTGTGAAATGGAGTTCTGGTAATCCTCTGGTTTAAAAGTGTCTCTGCTGGGTCCTCTAATTTACAGATATTTACCTTTTGCTCTGGATCCTCTCTACTAGAATTTAAAGGAAAAAAACCCACCAGTCTATGCCTGGAGCAGAAAACAACTGCAGGTGAATAAGGCTTGAGTTAGGTTTCCCTGAGAAAACCCCAGGGACTGGGTCCTTAAAGAACATCAAGCAGCAACAAGGACAAGGAAAGAGGAAAACAGGACAAGAAAGAAGAATCAGAGAGGAAATGCTTCTGTATAACTTACATACAGAAGACAAACAATAACACTACTTTTTTCTGATGAAAAACTATTCAGTCAAACAGGTGGTATGAGGAAGCTCTATCCTCAGTAGTTTAAGCTTCAGTCATGAAAAAAAAACTTTTTAAAATTTAAATCAGCCAACCAGATAGACTGGTACAAATACATTCCTAAACACAAATACATGGGATGTTTGTATGAACAAAGTAGTGTAAAGCTCATTGTAAATACCTAATTTAACAAAAATAGGCTTACATATGATAATATATAATCCTCAGTATGAATGACAAAATTATTTGTGATGCCATTTTTTTAAGATGGGGGCTTAAATAACAAAGGATTGGATTTTTTTAATATTTCTACCAACCTGTACTTCTAATATGATATCTGTATTTTTCCCAACACAAGATATATTTTCTCCAACGGAATGGTTATACCACTGCAAGGTGCAAACAAATATGACATAATCAGCTGAGAAGAAACAGGTGTTTTTAGATTCCCTGCCAGGATAACTAAGTTTATAGTGTTGGAGGTGCTAGTAGAAATCTGCAGCCATGACCCCTTTTTGCTTTTCTTGGTTCTTGTAAGTTACATTTTTAAAAGTCGTTGTTGAGCCTCTGTACAGTGGATTTGTTTCCTAAAAAAAAAAAAAAAAGAACCAAAACAAAAACAGGTGAAATGGGAGTCACACAGTCTTTGTATACAAGTAATTCTGTACCTTTGATGATTTTAGAACAGCCTTCAGTTCCTCACTTATATTCCAAGCCACTGAAACTCAGAGTGGTCTAGAAGAGGCAGCACAAACCAGCCTGGGGTCAGGAACATGCTCTCCTTCACAGCTGCCTCCCAGATTAAAGTAATGCACATTGTCAAACAATACTTTATCAAATGCGTCCAATATAATTTGAGTACCAAACCTGGTGGTTGGATGATTATAAAAGTACAGATTGTGTCTCAGCAGTGAGGTGTTACTTGTCATAGTCCTCTTGCTTGGGCCACATAGGCTATCTACCCCGTGGTGGGAGAAGAGCAAGTCCCATCTGAGCTTCTAATCCTGGTCTCTCATCAATCACTTCCTATCCCTTCAATTTGTGACAGAAAAGAAAATTAAAATGCTTCTATCAAGTGTATCCTTCCCTTCCCTCTTACCATATGTAGCTCTCCTGAAGGATCAAGAAAACACTCTCAGGTGGCCTTGCCTGTAAGTAACTGATTTTTCCCATCTCAAAAGCTGAAAGGCTGACAGTGCCCATTCTTAGAGAAATGTTGCAATCACAGGACTTTGTAGGAGAATGGAGCGGAATAAACAGCAGCACATCGCCTATCCTCCTGACACCCCCTAGAAATGCTTACTCAACATGCTTGTTTTTCAAAGATCCTCAGAAGTCTTGAAGATTTTGCAAAAGAGCAAAAAAGTCAAGGGCAGAAAGGAAAGAAGAAAAGGGAACATGTGGTGTAAGCTTGCATTAGATTCCTAAAGCTATAGATAGAAGATAAGGCCTGGATTTCTCTGTCCTTTTACCTACATTTTAGACAGTGTCCATTCACGGCTCCTCTGTGTGGGTGGGCTCCCATCACAGAGGTCACCACCAACCTCTCTTTCCTAAATGGTTCTGTTTCTGGGCAGATTGGTACACCTCTGATAATCACAGAGGCAGCCAACAACTTTGTTAAAATTAATCAAAGACGGGATACTAATTAAAAGCAACTAATAAAAAAAAAAGCTATCTACGCATTCTTACATGTGGAAGAAATTAAACCAGGAGATTAAATGCTTGATATTTTTATCCATAAAAGAATCACAATTTTACTTTATAGGATTCTAAATGTAGTGAAAACCTACCAGCAAAATCTATCCATTTAAAAGAACAAAACTAAGACACAGGATGTTAAAGGCAGTTGTGCATCATGCAACCAAATTAAATAACCTTGTATGAAATCAATGACTGTCACATACCGTTTGCCATTTAACTTTTGATTTTTCTGCTTCAAACTTGGCCACCTCTTTTCGGTCTTGAATTGACACCAGTAATTTCCATATACAAAGTAAAACAATGCCAATGAGAAGGATAGCAAGGGTGACACCCACCATTATCATTGGGATATTTGGAACTTGTGTGCAATCTGTGGAAACAAAAACAGTTATGACTGTGGATATCCAATCAGTAAATTTTAGGCAGTTAAAAAAAGTCAAGAAGTGTTCTGAGCTTCTCATTTGCCATGGGCTTGCTAAAGGGTTTGTGAAACCAGATAAAAATATTGCATTAAAAAGTTAAAAAATTTAATTGCGAACTTGTTCCACTGCGCTTTGACCATGTCAATCAGTCAGCTGCTGCTGGATACAGACACAGATTCTGAAAAGTCAGAAAATTGATTTCAGGTCTGTGCCAATATAATCCTAAAAAACAGGGCTGAGTTGACAAGATTATAAATTTTACAATGTTATGGCTAGAGCTCTAGTCCAATTAATTGATATTCACCATGTTGCAGAAGAAAAAATTCTAGTCAAATCTATATCAGGGTAAAGTCACCAACGATATTCATAAAATAGAGGAAACTACATTACTGTCATGAATACAGTTGGTAAAAAAAAGCCCTTTAGACTTGTTGAAAGTGTTGGTCTGGGCAACTGGAAGCAATTTTGAATTTCAAATCCTGAATTAATTTTATCATACAATATTTCAGAGAGTCAAAATTAAAACTGAAGTTTTTGCTTCACCAAAACACAAAGGAGTTTGATTCTTTTAATATTAGAAAGCATTGTTTATAAAAGTGGAAAACTACTATTTTTAAAAATTTACTGCTGAACCATGGTTTAAGGACATCAAAAAATTAATTTCAATCTTATTTGTCTTACATGATTGTATTTCACATTCTGGTTTTGTTTGATGTCATCATTTAACTAATTCTTAGGGGTCTGGTTTGAGCAGTGTGTTGGCATTCTGGCTACTGGTGCCGTATTGACTTCACTGTCACTTTTCTGCTCCTGGGCCTTGAAATGTGAACTAAGACCTCAAGAAATTCTCTAGAAATATGATTTCATTCATGCAAGTGAAGATGGTTATTGTAGCACTGTGGGAGTACCACTGCACAGCGGTCAGTGCTTACGGAAATACCTTCCTTAAGATATTTCTTTCGGGTTTGTTTTTTGGTTGTTGGTGTGTTTTGTTTTTTTTTTTTTTCCAAATCTACTTAAAATACATAATAAAGGCATTTAATAAAGAGAAAATCTTACCCTTAAATTCTTGTATCTTAAGGGTGTAGTTTACAAAGAGGTGTGCTTCTTTAATACTAGCTTTGTTACAACCATCTTTGCTGTACTAGTAACCTATACAAAACCAGACCACTGTTCTCAGGACAGAAGCTGCTTTTGTTGTGCAGTGAAATCACTTTTGTTCTCACATGTTTGCTAAAGAAAGGCTACACAAAGGGTTAATAAAACAAATTCCATTTGTGCTAACTGAAGTACGTTACAAATCTGCATGGCTTTGCCTAAAACATAACTAACATTTAGTATGAAGATGTCTTAATTGCCTGGAAGATGAACTATTTGGCTGCGGAAAAGTGGTGTCTGGGTTCTCTCTTGTCCTACCTGATTAGGAGATTTAATAAAAAGTCAGTAGTGAAACAGCAGTAAATAAAGAAGTCACGTTAATGAAAGGACATAAAGAGATCTGTTGTATATCTGTTAGTTATTCAAAATATTCAGAACTTAATGAGGGCTGGAGCACGTCTCCTGTGAAGATGGGCTAAGCGAGTGGGGGTTGTTCAGTCTGGAAAAGAGCAGGCTTTGGGGAGACCTAAAGAGCACTTTCCACTACCTAAAGGGGCTACAAGATAGCTGGAGGGGGACTTTCTACATGTAATGACAGGACAAGGGGGATCGGCTTTAAATTGAAACAGAGTAGATTTAGATTGGATATTAGCAAGAAATTCTTTACTGTGAGGGTGATGAGGCCCTGGCACAGGTTGCTCAGAGAAGTTGTGGACACCTCAGCCCTGGCAGTGTTCAAGGCCAGGTTGGATAGAGCCCTGAGAGTGGTATCTCCGCTTGGGGCAGGGGGCTTAGAACTACATGATCTTTTAGGTCCCTTCCAACACAAACTGTTCTATGATTCTATGATACTGAAACATTCAACAGAATTACAAATATATTTTAGAGTTTCATTAGGTAAACCCAATCAGATAGTCTTTTGAATATTTGTCCGTGCATGAAATATGTATAAATTTCAAAGTGAATTATATTCTTATCATATAATGCAAATGACATTTGGTATCATCATCTTAGAATTGCACAATTCTTTAAAAAAATTACTTATTCTTGCAGCAAGGATTGCTCTGCCCATCTTTCATGAAAGGTCAAGTATTTATTTTACCACTGCATTAAATAAGTACTTGAGGATGTCCTCATGCTCTTTTGGCTGGGCAGAGAAGAGCTACAAACACAAGGAGGTGCTGTGCTGCTTAAAAGAGCTCAGCTTCTAAATTGCTCACCCTGTCTGTGGTTTTAAATCAGATTTCACATAGAAAAAGCAATATTCACTGCTTACCTTTCTGTTTTATGCTATGAATGACTGTCCTTCCCTGTTCATCCACAGCCAGTAGAAATGTGGTTATACATTCATTTTCCCCCTGCAAAGAGCAGGAAATGGATTTATCCTCTGAATAATCTGCAGAGGGAAGGAAAGAAGTCATTCATCAGATCAAATTAAATTTAACATTTAATAACAAGGGAGACTGCTGGCATCATGTTTGTCATAGCCTCATCTGTGCATGGTAAAGAGTGGGAGATAAAAGCAGTAGTACTCTCAGGATTTCCACTAAATTTGATGGCTTTTCTACCAATCCCAATTTTGTTTAGTTTCTGATTTTTCACTTATATTTCTGAAGAACTGATCTTGATGTTGTCAATCTGCACTGACCATCTAGTGAATCCTATTAGTGTGCCGTGAATTTCAATGAATTGGAAGTGCCTCCAAGATGCTTAACTGCCATCTGTCTAGGAAATGTAGTAGTCCCAAATTACAGGACAAAGTAAAGAGTAGAACCAAGTATGTTCCTTTGGCTTACAGCTACTCCTGCCATCTCTAGATCACGTGTCAGAAGTAGATACACATACATCAAACAGCAGTGAATGCTGTTAGAAGGGCTGCCATTCATTTATTCCACAATAGCCCCCTCAAAGGTCAGTGTGTGTCCAGTACTGTCACAAGAGTAAATAGAGATTAATAACAGAAAACTGCAGTTCTGGGATTTTTGTAATGTGATTCCAGGGGAAGCAAATAAAGTGACCAGAGATGACAGTCTGCCCTTGTTTATTTGTCTCTCCACTTACTGTCAATCAGCACAAAAGCTTAATCCACTTTTTTCCTTCCAGATTATTCCTAACTGGGGAGCTTTTCTGCTGGGAAAAAAATCATTAAAAGAGGACAGGGAGACAGTAGGAAGCTGGCTTTTAGGGACAATATAAAGCAAAGAAGACAATCAAAAATTGCCATAATTTTGAGTGCAACCATAATAAAATATTTTACAGAGCAAAAATATCTTATAACTGTGTGCAATAATGGATTATAAAGAAACCTATGGTACATAAAGAAATAAGTTCTTGCTCTATTTCTTCTTCATATTACTTATTATCCTAAGGTTTGGTCTTATAGAAAACACAATTAAACACCATAGAAAATATGACAGTATTGACTACCCTAGTCCCTTTCTCTGCTTGTTTTAAAAAGAGAATCACATCTGGTTGGATTTTAATGGAAACACGCTCTTGATTTGCAATTCTTGTATTTAACCTATTGCCTGTCCTTGATGGCAGAGCAATGTATTATCTAGCAAGGTGACAGGCAGCCAAGACTTGCTGATTTAACAAGATTTGGTTTTGTTAGAAGGGCCACAAACTGCAGACTGATGGCTGTCATTGCCGGGTCACAGTTCCAGTAACACTGTCACAAGTTGTGCAATATTTGTACTTTCCCAACTCCTTTAAGCAAGCAGATTCAAAAAAATAAAAAAAAGTACTTGTTAGCTATTCTGAAGACAGAGAAAAATTTGTAAGCATATTCCAAATATCATCCAGAAGGCAGTAACTGCACATGTATTAGATATTTTTAAATAGTAATTTTTAATTTAATGTCATAATATGAAACCAAGGGAAACAGAAGTATGATTATGTGCAATGATGTAGAAATGAAAGCAAAGATGCCTGTTCAAGCTATTCAGAACCTATCTTACAGTTAATATTTTTGTTTCTCTGATGTTATTTTTAGGATGAAGGATCACTAAGAGATTATATTGCATATATTATTTGCAGTTCATCAGGACAAAAATTTGCCTAGGTAGGTAAATTCCTGTAATTTACATCTGTGCAATTTTCTGCATTCTGCAGTGAATCATCATACTCTTCTCACTTCTGCCTGCAGCCTAATTCTATTAATTTCAATTGTATTTTAAATCACTGGAGTCACACTGGAGGAGAAATTGAGTAACGGTGGCAAGAGGGAGACTCAAAGCATGAAAGACTCCTAACAGAAACTAATATAAAAGATTCAACAAAAAAAATTGACTGCAAATTTAAATGTCATTATGCCCTTTCTTGTTTGCCTTTTGCTCAACAAAATGCTTTTTTCGAACAGAGTTCATCTCATTTTGAGTCGCAACAGAGCAGCGCTGATATAGAGGTTTATTCAGGTTCCAGTATCCACTTTGCTGCTGCACCTGGAATTTGTGAGGTGTCAGAACTATGGGGGAGGAAAAACTCAGTTTCTCCAAAGAAAGTGTAACTGTCCTTGCTGGGTTTTTGGCAGGAACAGCCTGGTGCCCTGTGGCTGGGGTGGTGGCAGGAACCACCTTTTAGGAATAGTGGTTCCTCTTGAGTAGCGAGGGCTCCTCTTGCACCCATCTGGCAAAGGAAGGATTAGCCTAAATTAAATGTTCAAGTACTAAAAGTGGATGAAAATAAATGTTTAAAAGTGATGCCCTCTGTGGAGATAAGCCCAGCAAATGTGAAGCCATCAGCACCTCCAAAGCTGCTGGGCATCCCATTCCCTGATGGAGCCTTAAGGGGAATGGCTGACCCATTGTGTTGTGGGGAGCAGGAAGAGAAACCCCTGGCAACCTCAGAACTAAAGCAGAGGAGGTGAAAGTCACGACTCAGAGCCTAAAATGGGCATTCCCAGGAAACAGGAAAATGTAAAGCCTACCCTTTTTTCCTTGCTTCACACTTCCACTCACTGTATTCCAACATACACATGCAAGAGAGAAATGAAATTAAGTGCTACTGTTTTACTTAAACTAAAGCTATTGCTTTTTTCCCCCCTAAAAGCCTTGAAACATTAAAGAAACTGAAACATAAACAAGAAAGAAGTAGACTACCATATGAAGTTGCTCAATCCTCTGTCTTAAATATTATGTGGTGTGCTAGTTATTGCATTTTCAAATCGTTGGGTTTTGTTTAAGTCATAGTGTTTATTCTATGATTATTTTTTAATTCGTATTTTGCAGGTTATTTTTTTCCTATCAGGACTTCCTAATGAGGCTACCTCCATGCCAAAACAAATCCTTGGAGGTATTACACAAGCTTTTAACATGAAACACAGTTTGCAACAGCTTCATCTTTTTTTTTTTTTTTTTTAGAGGTCCAGATGGGAACAGTTATCCAGTCTTCACTACAGTACTTACTGTAACTGCTGCAAATAAATTTTAAACCTAAAGAAGTAGCTGACAGTCCCAATCAGGGAAGCATAGGACATGAAAAAAAGAAATAAGCAGGAATAGGAGATGTTATTGTCATGCTCATATAACAGTGACCTCTGTGTTTGTGAACAGAGACATATAAATTGCTATTTCTGCTCTTGATCAGTATTCATTATATTTGAAAATAGAATGTTTTATATATTCCTAGCTACAAATATGTGCCATCTGACAACAGCAACCTGCAAACCTTACAGAGATACAATAAAAGTGTTTATATGTTTTTTAAGCCCGTAAAGATATTTTTATATTTATAAACAAATACTGATGTTTAGAAAGGCAAAGCACGATAATAATTTTGATAAAAAATACAAAATTGGAATTAATTGTCCTTACAAGGGCAATATTTGTGACATTTGAACTCTGTATTGTGGAGTATTGTCATTAAAAACAAAAGGTGTAGCTTTCCTGGAAATACGTACATCAGTGATGACATTTCTGCATGCACAGCTCTGGATAGCCTTCCAACAGCTTGCAGACACAAACCTTAGACATGCACAGAGGATTCTGCAATATCATCCTTATTCTTACATTTGTCTTATTTAATGGTTATGGTACATATGTGATGTGGATATAACACACCTATGTCCTGCCTCACTTAACAATTGCATGTGCCACAGGCTTGGGACTAGAATTGCCATTAGAATAAATACAGACTACCTGTTGAACAGGCAAGTGTCTTCCCTGCAGGAAACTAAAATATGCACTCTTTCATTTAAAGGTTTGTTACTGTTCTTTTTGATCTTGGTGCTTTTTGGGTTTCTTTTTCTGATATATTATCTCGCTCAAGATTAATTACTGTTCCAGAAACTTCTGTTGATGGAGGGCAGCTTTGAATTAAAGTGAATAACTGGAAGATGTACTTAGCCTTTTAGAATACGAGAAATGTCTTTGCCACAGGTTAAAGGGCTGTGTCTAGTCACCAGCTTTAATCATGGGTCTGCCTAAGGACTTGAGTCAGGTTTTATTTGTATGGTAGAAGAAGCCCCATTGGAACTCATGGTACAGGAGTAACTTAAACTCAAGGACTTTCATCAATCATTGATTTGGAGGGAGTGGTATTTATTAAATTCTATACTTTTCTGCATAAAGTTCTTAGAAAATAGGCATGACTCAATATGTTAATTAACCTGGAAGGGTAACACCAGCCCTGTTCTGCATTTCCTACTTGGCTCAGAAGAACCATAGACAGACAGTAATTGCCTTATGAGCCATAAAATAATTCCACAGCAGAAAAACAAGGCTACTTTCAAATATAAAATTACTGGAAGTGGAACCTACCACTAAGCACACACACACACAAGAAAGGAGGACTGAGTATACCAACCCTTTGCGATGCTGACAGTTGCATCGACCAATTTGCATTTTTCACTGCAATCTCCCAGTGACTTGTCATCGGAAGCCAAGTGACATTCCACACAGCTCCTGTGGAAAATAATTCAGCAGCTCATCAATCTCTGCCTGTCACAAAGCAACAAGACAAAAGCCAGTATGTGTGCATCTGCATTTTAAAAGGAAGCTAAATAAAAGGTCTCCTGCTATGGATACAGTAGTTCTCAGGAATATGATAGGTACTGCCACCAAAAAAAATCCCAACAAAACCAAGCAAAAAAAACCCCACCTGAATAAAGGTATTGTGGATAAGCTCTGTCTTGTCCTCTATTCTCTCCCAGTTTATTAGCTACCAGACAGAACCCCAGGCAACATTATTCATGGAGGTCTATCAAAGACATGTGGTTAGTCACACACAATACTCATTTTTAAAAATTTCAAAAATAAATGTCCTGAACATTAAATATTCTTACACAAAATACCAGGTGAAGAAATTCCTATCAGATGAGCGATATCTGAAACTGACTTCAAAGAGATCAAGTTGTGGCACCTGGTATAAGCCTACCTTTGTTGAAAGTCTGTTGAATAATGTATTAAAACACTTTTCAGGTGTCTCAATAGTTGTCTCTTGAATGTGAGACTCTGAGAAGCCATCTGAAGAACTGACTGCATAAGGGAAGGGAAGGAAGGGAGGGGAAGGGAAGGCAAGTCAAGGCAAGGCAAGGCAAGGAAAGGGGAAAGGAAGGAGGAATGGGAAGGGGAGGAGGAAGAGGAAGGGAAGGAGGAAGGGGGAAGGGGTAAGGGAAGGAGGAAGGGGAAGGGAAACTTTGCAGCAAAACATCCCCAAAAAACCGTGGCTGTCCTGTTGCATTGAGTTACATATATCCATGGGAAGAATATGCTGAGGGTGCTGAGTTTATCTTCAGAGGATGCAGATGACCTTATCACTTGCTCTGTAGATGGTGAATAGTAAAGGGAGCAGGTAATGGGATAGCCTCTATCTCATGGAGACAAACTCAGTGTTGCTGGTTTTGTCGTATTTGCCATGTTTCTTTTAAAACACACTCTCTTTCTCAGCTGCCTAGCCATTGATCTCCAGCCCCTCTGAACTGGTCTTTCAGCTCTCTTGGTTACCCTACCCAGGTATTCCCAAAGTTCTCTCTCTCCTGGCTCTTTGTTCCCTGCGTTTCAGCATGGGAGGACACTGAAGTAGAGAGAAAAGACCTAACATTGCATACAATATACATGTTTAAGCAGGATAATGTAATGCCTATCATGTAACTTTATATTTCTTACTCTCTGCCAAATTGGGCAGGGCAAAGCAGCAGCTCCGTCCTTCATGTTTAGAGCAGTTGCATGCAGAAGTGCTCTTTACTTACAGCTTTGAACATACTGAGAGGCTTACTTTTGTGGGTCAAATTTAGCACTAACAGAAACAGATTGATGATTTAATCAGATGCCATGGAATAGCTTTTCACTTAGATACAGTGTAGACTGCAATGACAGGTATGAAAATGCAATGGTGGGGAGCTGGTATGGAAGAGAAATGGGCCTCAACTCTAAATAAGGAGACAGAACATCATCATGAAACATCCAACTGAAACTGCTCAGCACTCAGAAAGCAAAGCTAGGGTCATTAATAACGTGTTCTGTGAAGCCTAATTCAACTTCTAGCTTAAATTTCTACTGAAGACTACCCAGTTTGAACTGTAGCCCTGCAAGAACTCATTTAATACAAGCATGAGCAATGATGTACTTAGAGTGGTCAGCTTCACAACTCGAGTATTTTTGGTTGATTTTCATGTTATGCACCATAGCATTCACCTCGCATCACAGCAGGAAAGTTACATAAATTTTGTATGCTCAGTGGAGAGAAGACATTTAACCATTTACAATCAATTTATCACCAACTTACACATGACATACAGCTACCCACTGATTAATCCCCAGACTATTACCTAGTTTATCATACTTGTGCCTTTTTAATTCAGCCAAGCTTAACTGAATTTGGACTATGAATTTGCAGATGTGTAAAGCTTGAGTGGACAACACTACCTTATTCATTCATATGCATGAGAATGGTAATACAAATGCCAATTTTTTCTGCAAGTCCTCATTTCTGCTGTAGCAGCTATGCTGGGACATTTTTATTCTGTACTATGGACTGAAAGGAGGTTTGTCTGTTTTTATCTGATGTCGTATAAGGTCACCATTCTGATTATTTGTACAGCCAGGGACAGCAGTGGAACTGTGAAGTTTTACCTGTGCTGCTTGAAGGTGATTTAATTGTTTTCCATAAAGTCCTTTTGTATTAGAGTAGTGATCAGGAATGGTTGAAATATGAATTATGACTATCCCTCTCAAAGGGCAAAGAAGCTCTTGGGTTCTGGTCTGTAAATACAATTTACAGACACAGCAGTAAACATACTCCTGAGGCAGCATAGGAAATAGATACGTGCATGATACAAACATCAGAGATGTAAAACCAGCACATTACCATCTCGAACTGCAAGGGTCACCGCAGAGAGGGCATTTTTCACATGTTTGGCCTGAAGCCCCTGGATGAGTGCAAGCACACGTCCCACAGATGCATTCTCCTCTGCCACTGCACAGTGTCCCATCCTCAGCAATGCAGGCACTGGTGTCAGTTGTGCAATTACAGTATTCCCCAGTCCATCCACTGTGGCACTTGCATTCCCCACAGTCACAATCACCATTGCCTGGAAAAACATTTATTGTACTTCAGATCAGTCTCTTAATAAGAATCTGAATTATGACCTTTAAAATCATTCTCCTTAATAGAAAATATTTTCCCCTCTCTAACCTTTCTTCCAAACATCTTTCTTTCTCTCCCAGCATTTTCAGTTTTAAGCCAGAGGATCAAATTTTTGTTTGGAGTGCAGCTCCATTCTCTTTACTAGTCCTCCACACAGATCTTGTCTCCTGACAGTGCACAACCTAACAGGTAAATACTTCTGATTTATAATGGTATAGCCCAGGAAAAAACTGTTTTAAGCCTAAAGACCATTCAGAAATATTACACTTTATACAGAATTGGTTGCAACTGAATATATGATGAAAATACAAATTCACAATCTCGCAGATAAGGGTGAGTCAATAAAGCTCTATATGCAGACACTAAAAACAGCACCAAGGGACCATACCTCCACACTGAAGCCCTCTGTGCCTCCCGCACGAGAAGTTGTCGCACTCGCAGTGAGGCCCGTACACCTTTCCGTATGGGGACGGGTGGCACACGCACTGCCCGCAGTAGCAGTCGCCTCTCCCGCTGCAGGAGCTCTGACCAGCTGAGCCCTTACAGGAACTGGTGCCCAGGGAGCTCTCGTCGCACTCGCAGTGCGGCCCCACATAGCCCGGGCTGCAGACGCACACCCCGCACTCGAACGATCCTTTCCCTTGGTTGCATTTTGGGCTGTTCATCTCGGCCTTTGCTTGACAGTTACAGCTGCATAGGGGATGTATTTCCATTTCCAGCATGTCACTGAGCCCCACAGGCTTTATCATGAGATGTCTTCTGTTTTTTTCACAAGAAGGGAGACTTACAGTCACATTGAAAGAGACCTGGAAGAGAGAATAGGGGCTGTTAGGAGTTGGAGCACAGGGAGTTCTGCAGGGTACTCAAGACAGAGCAACAGATACTGCCTGCTTTTTGGTAACTTTCTTGGAGGAAGATTATTTAACAAAATCTCTCTGCCTTGGTGTCCTAAATTCTCTGGCTTGATGTCTTTTGAGAATTTGTTCTGTACTTACTGTGTCTCCCACTTTCACACGAGAGCATTTTCTCTGATGTGGAAAAATGGTCCCATTGTTACAGATGGCCGTGAAGGAGAGACTGAGCCCTTCTGTCTCTCCAAGGATCTCCAACTCCACCTCAGACCTCAGCTCCTTCAAGGAAAAAAAGTGAGATAAATGGAGTGATAACACTGCCAAGCTCTGCCAGTGTTCTGCATCTGAGTAATGTGGACTGTAACTTATCCCAGTTAACACAAAAGTAAACCTGTGTTTTGCCACTTTGTTTACAGACCTCTGTATTGCAAGAAAAATGGGGAACAAGCAAAACAAAGCAAATGCCAATAGACCTGGCTTTCAGTGGAAAGCAATGGTGGTATCAGTTTAATATCCGCTATCACAGGACTTATTTCCTGCCCTTGCAGGAGAACAAATTCAATGTTCTATTAAATCATCTTTCATGACTCTGCTGACTGATACAGGTTTTCCTTTAGGTCTGATCTTACTGAGGTGAGGATTTGTGTCCCCGATTGCATTGCTAGCTCTGGGCTTTTCCTGATTAGCCAGCCTGTGTCAATATTGTTCCCTCCCTTCCTTTCTTCTCCCGATGGAAATTCCTGCTTCATGAGCTGTATGTGCTATTTCAAGCTATGTTCAACAACATTCCCATTTCTTAAATCAATTTGTTAAGTCAAACTTTCATTTCGTAATTCACAAACTTTCTTCCTGAACTTGCTCATACTAGGGTTTTATATTTTAAGTCTTTAAAATATTTTACAGCAACTTTGCTTACACAATCTTAATCCAAAGCCTATCACAGACCATGGGGAAATTCCCTATGATTTCATTGGCCTGTGGACCCAGTAAATGGAAATTTTTCAAAAGTACCTCAGCAACTGCTGAATAAACATCTCATTGACTTGACTTTGTGCTCATGAGAGCCTAATTACTTACAAAATACCCCCTGCCCTTCAATCAGAGCATGAGGAGCTTGCTGACCTTACTTCAGTGAGTCATTCTACTAAAAGTATCAGGATGACTCATTGGAATAAAGGTCTGGTGGGGTAAATCAAAGTAAGAGTAGAATAGGCATAAACCTGCATAGACAACAACTCCCTGTCCTTTGTACATGTCCTGGATTCCCCAAAAATTTGTAAAACTCTGCCCTAGGCATCAGGTTGGTAATGTTGGTAGGTTTAGATATGTCCAAATTTCCCTTTACATTTTTTTTAGAGATAGGCACTTAAGTTGCTATTGAAACAACACAGAGAATCATAGATAATAATTTGTTTGCAATAGGTGGTCTCTCATGAAAGGACCAAACATAGTAAACATCTAGATAAAACTGTAAGTGTTGGTATGTGCTAATGTTACAGGAAATATCACCAATAGTCCCTCCTCCACCATCTGCAAAACTACAAGGCTCAAACAAACAAATCTGAATTTTTTGTATCTTAATATCTGTGAGCACTTCTAATGATGTTTTAAATTTACTGAGCTGCCTGACTATAGTTTGAGGACAGATAGCAGACAGTTTAGTGAGCTTCAAGCCATTCACAGAGAAACATTTATGGTTCAAATAATTTTCTGAATGAAAGAACACATGAAGCAGTGTTACATACTTGTGCCTTTGTGTTACCTGTCTTTTCTAATATATTATTTCTTTGGTGTCATTTTCTTACAGATGAAAGGATCAAACACTGGGGAAAAAAAAACAACAAGTGGAATTTTTCTGAAATTTAAAAATCTTGGAATGGCTTCAATCAAACGGCCTGCTATCTGTCAGAATGCATTTTAGCCTATAGCTTTGCAATACAAAGTTATGTGGAATTCAATGCTAAACAAAACAGACAGAAACATGCTTACAGAAGAAAACGAATCATACTTGGAAAGAACATGAGAACTCCTTGTAACAAATATTTTGACAGCTCAGACTTTCTTAACTTTCTTACTTCCTCTCTGAAGCTTCTAGATGGCAACACATGCTGAATGGCATTGTCAAACCTTGTGTTTGCACAGCAAGCAAATACTCAAAAACACTTTAAAAGTGTTAAAAGATTTAATCTAAGTCTACCCTGAGGGACAAAGAGTTATTTATTCCTTTTTTGTGAGTAAAGAAGCAGAGATACAGGACATTGAATTACATTGCTGAGAGTATCATGAAAAGTGTCCGACAAAAGTGGCATTAGATCTTCAGGTTTGCATGTGATTTTTAACTGTATGTCTACCTTCACTTCCCCATTCACGGTAAAAAACCCAAAATCAGGTATCTTCACTTACATCAAATAAGGTGGTTTTTGTGTTTCCTGCTTGGAAGATTTTCAGTCTTGAAGCAATAGGATTTTTAATCTTTAAAGTTATGTGTAATAAGATGGACTTGAGGAAAATTTTGAGTGTGACATGTTGCTACCTGTACACATTTTACATCTTGACATGTATGTGGGATTTTAAGAACCTATGTGCTGCCCTGGTGCACTGTCTGGACACGCTGTACCTGGATGACGATACGACGAGTTATGGCCCAAAGGCAGAAGCACCCTTTCTGCCATCACCTCCCTGCTACTCCTAGAGTGGAGCAATCACAGAGCTCAGAGCTCCCTCCAAACCATGTCCACGGGATGGGTGAAAACAGGATCAGCTGAAACAGCTCAGGAGCTGCATCGTGATCTCCACTGACAGCTCTGGGAGCTGGTCATCTCAAAGCACGCAGCAGCTAAAAAGCCAACAATGTCCTAAGTATATGAGCAAGGAGGCTGAGAACAAGACAGAGGGCATAATTTTGTCTTTATATAAGCATCAGTGTGCCCTCTATTGTGCATTGCAAGCTCTTGTGGTCTCCACATGTGAGAAAACACTTTTTAGAGTCAGGGAGCATAAAGATACTGTCAGATAAAGTCACCAAGGGCATGGAGGAGCCAAGGAGACACTTAAAAGGCTGGGATTGTCCAGTTTGAGACTGAACACTTGAGAAGACTGGACAGTGGGTGGCAGATGCTTTAGTCTTAAAATATTATGAAATCATGAAGACATAAAGATAAGGTGAATGCAAAGCTGTAACACCAGAACTAAAGTGGACTTCGTGAAATGGATTAGGGAGTAGGTTAAGATAGGAATAAGAAAAATGTATCTTGACACAGTGTGACTGAAGCCCTTTGTGCCATAGAAGGCGACAGAAGCTGAAAAATCAGCAGGTTCAAAAATGAGAGTAGGAAAAAAAAAGTCATGGACAATAGGAACATAAGCAGATGCGAAGAGGAATAGGCAAGGATGCACTCATTAGCAATGTTCCAGTGAAGCACCTTTCTGCACTTGATGTTACAGCACCAGCACCTGGGACATTTTTTTGTGTGTTTTTGTGTTACTTACTGGACAACAAAATGATATTTTGGCTGTTAAATGTAGGAACCTCTGCCTATATGTTAGAGTGCCATCCTGGAGAAATCCTGATAGGAACCAGATGGGACTTAACAGCAGGTTGGAATCCATTAGTGAAATCCTGTTGTCACTCAAAGTTCAGCAATGGCTTTCCCCAGGTAAAAATTCCCTCAGTTGTATTTATTACAATTTGTAAACTCCTAAGACTAGCCCTGTAGCTCTTTCCTTATATAATTTTCCATAGAATGGAGAACCTTCTGGTACTTTGTATTTTATTTAAAAAATCCTATCTCATCAATTGTATTACTTTCATAAGAGTTATAAGAGTCATAAGAATCTGGTTTTTTCCTATGACCAAGTCCAAAATAATTTTGGCATAGTGATGATTATCTCATTCAGGTGATAGAATAAAAAGCAGAGAAAAAAGTAAGGAAAGAAGTAGAAGCTATTTGCAAAGAGTTGTTTGTCATTGCAGACAACTGGTAGAGCAGGTTTTTAAAAAAATGGGCTGAGACGGAAGAGAGAAATCTGTTGTATATCAGCATATATATAAATTAATATATCTGAGTAAAGAGCTGTACAACTGTCTAAGAACATTCCCCTGACAGAAGAGAAACAGGCACCCAGAATGCATTTTACAAACAAAGCTCTGAAGAGCAGCGCTGTGTTTATGTTTCTGACATCGTTACAGTATTTCTTTGTATTACCTAAACAAACCCATTCAAGTCTTGATATTATCTAAACAAATCCATATTGGCTTCTGTGTTCCCCTTTTTAAAAACCTCAGAACAGCCTCACAGGGGCAGCACCAATTTGCTAAAGCAGAGAAGAGCACTAAGCATGGGATAGCGCTTTTTCCCCAGATATTCCCTCAAGGCAATTGTATGTCTGCTCTGGGCAGCTACCAATGGGGGGGGAGTTGAGTGCCTGTCCAGGTGCAGAATTGGGAGACCTGAATATTAAAGAAGGCTTAGAAGTAGGTGTGAAATAAAGGACTATGATGAAGGCAAGACAGATGAGACACTGATTTAAATTCAGCATCCCAGCAGAACCAAGGCATGACAGATGGTTATAGGAATTTTGTTTCTGTGTTTCCTCAATCCTCGGAGTGAACACAACCTTTCCTGTGAAGGTCATCACCTAGCACTAAAAAATGATGTAATCAGTGCATAAGAAGAATCAAAGACACTTGTTTTTACCAAATTGCAAGGCAGTTTTGAACACGGAAACATGAAGGAAAAGACTGCATTATAACCATCTTACCTGATATGCAGCAATGATCAACTGGAGAATATTTCCAGAATCCTTCTGTAGTCGTCCAACAGTAGCTCCAGGAATAAGTTTTGCATAGTTCTGAAAACAAAAAAAAATTAATTTAAAGCACAAAAAACCCCTAGGTGACAAGGAGTTAACATCTAAAAAATCCAAATCAAAACAAAAACCCCAAACCCAAAAACCCTCCACATTACCCTCACAACAAAACCAAATACATTGAAGTCAGTGATATTTTCAAGGATCCTTGCAGCTCCGTTACACATATCCTAATGAAAAAGTCCTATGGAGAAGAGCTAGTTTCACTGAAAATTCATTGGACATGTATTATGAATCACCTCTATAAGTTTGATTCTATAGTATTCTTTGAGCTCTAATTTTTCAAATTTAGAAGGAGGATATGTTCTGTCAACTGTTTTGTTTTTCTCTAATAAAAATATCCAGAAACAGACTCATCTCCTCTACTGTTACTGCACGATTCAAGAGTCTTGAACTCTACACTCAGCAACAACAGTCACTTTTTTTGTCCTTGCATATGTATCTTAGTGGTCTTTGGCTACGAAGGATTATATGTTAAATTTATATTAATATTGTAGTACCTACTTCGCAATTTATTTTGATGATAAGCTTTCTTTTCATTTTGCATTAAATTGCATTGTGCCACTAGCAGGACACCTAGCAGCTAGATTTTAAATACGCTGAATTAAAATTTATCTTGCCTTATTGTTAGTGACATGAACTTCTCTTGCTTATACCCATGACTTTGGAAAACAATGTATTCATCATTAAAAAAAATGCATTGTAGCATTAATTTTCTTTTGCATGATATCAATGCTGTTATTCTAAATAAAAAAAAATCCAGAGAACTATTAATAAACATGGATAATTTGATACTCTTATATCCTTCTTATACTTCATATCTCCAAGAGCCCTGTGATTACTTTATATATTATATGTGGAATAGTTATCATTCACTGGATTTCTAAAGTGCTATTGTTAATCAGTGGGATTAACTACATTTTAAGTTACAGCTGGTGACTTCTCATTCCTGACTCCTCCTGTGATTAGTGCCCTCTCAAGGATTCCTGGAATATTGAAACTGCATTTTGTACACATGGACCTTTTGTGAGAAAAGATGATAAATCTGGAATTTAAAATATAACCCTCTTTAATCTGTGGTATGCAAAACAAACAGCAGGGATATACTGCTCTGAAGACTTTGTTTGATCTTTCCTCTTTGAACAAAAATTTTCTGCATGGTGATACCAGGATGACGTTTCAAGCCCAGGCTAAGCACGTATCTCCAGTGCATTGGTTAAGCCCTACCTTTTAACAAATATTTCCATTTAACCATGAACAAGGTGAGGCAGATTGATGCTTTTGGGGTGCTACTATTGTAAAACATCAAAAGGATGTAATGGAATTTACTCTTTTGGCATATATTCATTAAGAGGTGAAGTGCATTTTATAAAGATACTCTAATTTATGTTAAGGAATTTGGACAATTATATATTTGACTCACTGGGGTCGTGTCTAACTTTTAGCTTGGTAAATGAAAGAAGGATTTTCATCACAAATAGAGTGTCATGATAAAAATATAAAAATAATTTAAAATTCTGTTAAAGTGTGGAGACTAGAGTATTTTTAGTTAAATTTTCAGCAATGCAATGGAGCCTGAAATTCCAATTTTCAAGCCGCATTCTTCTGTGATATAAATAGAAATAATTAATCCAAAAAAAGATTAATTTCTGTTTTGAGAGAAGTGATCTTTAGTCAGGATTAGGGAGAGAGTCTTTCCCTTATATAGGTTTGAATAAATTTTTAAAGAATTCTGCTTGAAAACAAATTATGTCAACAATAATAGCAACTACTTCATGAAAGTTTAAAGACTGCTGTTTTCTTTTATGCTAAAATAGGATTTGTCAAAATATAACTATTTTTGCAATAATCACAGATGCTTTTTGAGTGAATGGTTTCTATAGGATAAAAACATCCTCTCCTGCTTTGGTAAGACTCATCTGAGACTAATGATGCTAAAAGTTAGACATACATGAATATATTTTAAAAGATAATTTTAAAAAAATTTCCTTTTAATAAATCATCTCAAATTATCTGGGCTCAGTGTAAGGAATTTTCTCTCCTTTCTTGAATTTAATTTTGAGTGGCTGTAAAAATGTTTCCACATGACTGCTTCTTGTGCACAGAAGTTCCTGTGCTTGGGGAGAGCATCAGACCTAAATGATCTCTCGCAGTTGCTGTACAGAAACTGTTTGGATGCGTGGAAAGATCAAAACTAACACCAGATCTCTTACAAGCATATGTATTCTGTGCTTGTGCCACCCATAATAATTGTGTGTTAGATAATTATACACGTACATGTAAGTGGGTATACACGTACATGTAAGTGGGTAAACTGAAAATTCAGTTGAAGAGGATCAACAATATTACATGACTGAATTATTTTGGGCTAAATTGTTGGGGATTATACAGGGCTAGAAATATAAAACCTATATTTGATAGTCTGAACACTGCACTTAAAGAGGTGCTTTCTAAGTCCTCATTTTAGTGTATGTTTGTCCCTAAGAACTGAATCATAAATAGCAATGGTCAGTATTGGCATCTGATATAATTAGATGCTGAGTTCAAGTAGATTTGTGATATTTGGGGAGAGGCTTTCCACCTCCAAGAATAATTGGAAAGGTTTTCAGAGGGAGGCTGCAGAATCTCCGTTGCTGAAGCTTTTAAAAAGTGAAACACCAAGACAAGCGTGGTTTAATGGTGGTTTATGGTCCTCTACTACATCTTCCAGGCTACCCGAGCAGTAGCCTTACCACAAGAATAACTCATCTTGCTCTTAAGTGTGGATACTGATTATTTACATTTATATTACAAAATTTGCATCACACAGATGAAAACATGGCACTATTGCCCTGTTTGCACATCCTACACAGTATATTTCACTGTGGAAAAACTGCACTGTGACATTTATATATGATTTTTGTATTTGCTTTGACTGCTTTTCCACATCACCTATAGGACAAAAAGCAGACCATAACTGCTATAGCTATCCAAAGAAGTGAAGGAAAGCAGTACTAAAGATGATAGCAGCAGATAGAATATATTCAGTGGGATTATATACCTTACAAGATAGAAGATAGTTGTACTTTCTTTTTTCTGACAAAGAAATTAATGAGAATAAACCATTCCCTAATTGGGTTAACCAGGACTTGCATTTTTTGTAGCTATAAGCCTTCTTTAGTGTTACCAGTGAAGAAAGGGTGCCCCTCGGTAACTTTGATACTGATATAAGACACAGGGATACTGGTATAGAAACACCCTGATAAGAATGCTGTTGGCCATCTCTGAGGGTGACCACCAGCAATTTCCAAGGGAAAATACAATGCCATCAGTAAAATAAAAGTTTCTTTGGATAGAATAAGTTTCTTTAAATCAAAGAGATATTTACAAACTACCTTTCTAGTACTGCCCTTATTTATGCAGCACCTATTAAAATCAGGGAAAATATTTTGCTTGTTATTGACTGGGTCCCTATTAATAAATTGTTGAGCAATAATAAAATCTAGTAAATGTTTTTTTAATGTAAAAATATTATTTAAACTATGCAACGACTATAGAATTCCACTGCATTTGTAGATTGAATTCTACTGTTACCGATCTAAATTTTCATGATCCAGCTCAGTATTTAATACACTCTTTAAACAGGCCAAGCTGTCAGTGCTTCAAGATGCAGTGTTTTCTCCCTTGTCAAGGCTGTAACCTGAGAATCAGTTTATGAAAGATGTGACTTTTGTCAATTTTGTAAAACAGCTGGAGCGTTACTTTTACTCCAAACAACTCTACCACTGGAATCAGTTGCAGAAGTACTGGGGGAGTCTTCCCTGGGTTACAGAGAGGACAGAAATTGAAAACCATCATACTGGTGAGTGCCTCAAGGATGCATCTGCTCTCTCTTCTCCCCTACACTTTCTTTCCTTTTTTCCATGTGGTAATCACACCAGAGGAGCACCTCTCTCCTCATTACTGTACTCTTGTTTTTAACGAGGAATGTTTTGCAAAGGTTTTTCCTTTGGAAAGCCAAGCTTATTGTATCAGCAGGATCAGCCTTATTGACTCCCTCTCAACCAACCTGAATAAATTTGGAGGAACAATTTCTCTCTGCTTGTCCCCTTTCACACAGCAGCAGTATGTGGCCAGGCAGCCAAGTTTAGGCTGCAAAAACCTTTATTATCCACACTGAACTCATATCTAGAATTTCTTTTAGCATGTGAAAATTTCTTTCCTGGAGCAGGACTGGACAGAAAAAGAAATAAGAATTGCCAATACCCATCATATTTTATCTTAAAGGGTTTTTGCTCACATTCACTGTAAGAACAGTGAAGCAGTTGTTGGTAGCTTTGCCTCAGCTCACAGCTGGAACATCCAGTGGGTCAAAAGTAGCACAGGGCTGCAGGAGGGCTTGTAACAGTGGAAGCTGAAAACAGATGCCTGAACAGATGGCTGATGGAGTTGCAGGTATGAATGATATTTGACTTATTAAAAATATGGTATGGATTTTGTGTATCTGTAACCACTGCTCCTCTGCTCTCCCCTCTCTCCTGGCTCCCATTTTCCATGACATGACTTCACAGAGCAGGAAATTTACTTCACTGAAGAGGATTCTGCTAGTCCTAATGCCCCAAATTCCTGTAATTAAATGTTTTCCTTCACTACTCATGAGGACCAATACATAAGGAAAGAGGACTTTGTCCATCATCATCTTCACTTTTCATCTTGATGCTAGTTTCCTACTAGTCTCACAGGAAAGCATCAAAGAAATAAAACAAAAATGGAAAAAAACCCAACCAACCAACCAACCAACCAAAACACGCAAAAAACCCCAAAACAAAAAACCAAGAAACCAAAAACCAAAAAAAAACCCAAACAAAGCAAGATCTGAGTTGAGCATGAAAACAACTGCATGTTTCAGATTGTGTTCTTGTCTTATAAAAGGCTCAACTGTCCTCTAGCCTTATAAAATACAGAAGACTAATCCCAATGATTACACTGAAGTTTAGCAGTGCTTAGTTTGACAATCCTTGACTTAAAAGATTAGTGTGATTCAACTTGAAATCCAATTTAAAAGTTACTTAAGAATGTCAAAATCAATACATGAAGAAGCACTTCTTAAGCAGAAGAGCTTTCCTCCAATATATGATTTCCTAGTTATTTTTAATACATAAATATCTTGCAGAATTCAATCCTTAGTACTAGCATTACTGTATCAGCTGTGCAAAAGGGTGAACTTTAAAACAAATACTGGCAAACTGAACATTTTAATTTGCTCACCTCATATGTGTGAACTTGCTCATTTGTTACAGCAAAAATTAATAGAACATTGTTTTGCACAAGTTTGTCAATTAATTGTCCAATTGTGGGATACTCCTGCAAACAAACAGAAGAGAGGCACATCAGTCTGTTTCTCATGTGCTTCTAGTTACTAACTGTCTCTCCTGTGTGAAACACACATTCAAGTGATCATAATTAACACTGTTCAAGTGATCATAATTAACACTGTGTTCTCTGTGTAGTACAAACTTTAACTAGGAATACATGTATACAAAATAAAAGATCGTGTATAGAATTTCTTCACATTGTTTTTAAGGAAACCCCTCTAAAATAAGGTATAGAGCCTGCTTACATACTGGGATATTTGGCTCAGTAGCATCTGTTATCTATATATTTAATCCAAAGAATAACACTGCACCAGAACAACTGGATATTTGTCCTACACCGAACACTATACTGTGTATATTTGGTATTTTTGAACAATGAATCTTAAGCTGGTAAATCATCCTACAGGAACAGTGTCCTGCAAATCCCTGAACTCCTCCTGAGTTCAAACCCTTTTAGAGAACATAATCAAGGAGGAAATACCAGTCAGTCCAATTTAATGTGCTTTCCTGGTTAGCAAAAATCAGATTTGTTATTTCTTTTGTCTTAGTTAAAATCTATCCTAATTCCATACAAACACACTTCTCTGTTTACTGAAATATTCACTTATAAATGAAATAGACTACATGAAATATCTGCATTCCACAGCTTTTATACATTTCAGTGTTAAAAGTATAATTCATTAATTTTTTAAGTTGCTCCTATTAGTCTTTATATTTCCAGAATGCGAGAGTTGTACAAAATTCAGTTAATTACCAGAACAGTTGACATGGAATATTCATTATTGTCATCCAAATGACAGTTCCCATCATTAGGAATAACAATCCCTGCCAGTTTACTGTCCATCCCAAAATGGGAATCAGCATCACTCACAAACACCAGCAAATGTAGAGAATCATTCCTCCATCCAATTTTTTCCTGCATTTAAAGCACAACAATTTAGCAGATTGTATTGCATGACAATATAGAAAAGCAGCTAAATATTTGGAGGACAGCACCTCAAAAGAAATGAAGAACATGGTTTTCAAGGGAGCATCAAAGGCAACATGACGTCTCTTAAGAGATTGTGTTCATTCCATTGTCTTTGGCTAACATTTTGTCTCCCCATCCCTGTGTTTAATAACACAGGCTGGCCATGTTCATGTCAATCTGCTTACTACTCTTAACATAGTTAATGAAAAATATTTAAAGAAAAAAAATCAAGAAAACAGACACAGTAATTATACAGTTATTTGGGGTTATTTATCCCTGGCAATTAAAAGGAAACACTAAAATATTGCAATGTGCATGTTTTTCTTGGTACAGCCAAAACTATTTTAACACAAATTTAATGAGGCTCTTGGATTGCACTAAAAATTCTTGAAAAATAATCTGCCACTTTGAAATACCACCATATAATACTAGAAGCAGTAATACACAGAATAATTAATATTATGCCTAGAAATTTCAATTACCTTGCAAACAGCTGCCTGCATAATTGCATCAAATCCTCCTTCTGGAGTGTCTATATTAGCAGAGATTCGCTGTACTTTCACAATTTCATTGAATTTTTCAGCATCATTTGTGAGTGGCAAAACATGTTTATATCCAAAGGTGGGTAAGCACTCATATGGTACACTCCTGCAAGAAAAGTGAGACAGCTTATGGATAATACAGAGTGAAAAATCACTACAATGAACACTTCAAAGGCCTGCCTGGATTAGTTTTTTTGTTCATGTATCTCCTGTGCCTGAGAAGATCTAATGAAAAACATACAATAATTAAAGAGCATCCAGTTAATTGGGCAATGGAAAAAGGTCTGCATAAGGGCTGGGAAATGCCTCCTAGAGCAAAGTAATTCAGCCAATTACCAAAGTGCAGCCCTTGCCATGCACCCTGCTGTGTCTTGATTTCATATTCAGAAGCACATTAGGACCTGTAGTTCCTTAATGACATTCAGAGAGCACCAGCAAGCTGCTGCAGTCCCGCTCCAGACTGCAGAGCACAGCTTCTCTCCCACACAGGTTAGGCAAGGGCTAGGGCAGCCTGGGTTAAGGCAGACTGCTAGACCTTAGGGGTGGAAAAAAGCAGGAAAACAACATTTTTGGCTAAATGAAACTGATATTCTGTGTTGGGTTTGAGTTTGCAACTCTTTAGTATGGTGTCATAAAGTTCTTATGTATATGTATTTTTTTTCTGGAAAATTAAAGAAGAGTACATAACTATTCTGCATATCTGTTTGTTAAGGCATTAAGCACATTTGTAACTAGCAGCAAAAGCTAAAATGCGGAATCACTCCCAGATTCCTCTCTCCAAATAACATCATACTCCACAGAATAATGATCAGAGTGTGAATTTAAGGACTCATTTACAGCTGGAAGAGGGCAGAGGTTCCAGTGAAGCTGCTTAATTGAATTTTATCCAAAAGATTAATATTATGACTTAATGCTGGTATGCAAACAACTGTTGGGACTTTCCCTGCCTACCTGCAAGGGTTGTCTATTTCTGCAGCTGTAGTTTTGATAAATGGTGAAACTGGTTTTTCAACAAAAGATCCAAACCCCAGTCTGAAGTTGCTTGTCAGTTTTGACATTTCTTTAGAAAGAGTTGAACCCAGTTCTTTGATTGTATTCAGATCATCATCCATGGAGGCTGAAAGATCCATGAGGTAATAGAGATCAATTGGATAATCTTCAGTCTGACGAACCTTGATCTGTATTGTTTCTTCATGTCCTATAAAGTGGGAGACACATTAGCACTTCTGGGCAGAAGGCATGAACAATGTCAATTTCTTCATAAACTCTATATGGTGAAAATTATCTGGTATATTAAATAACCAGCAGCATTAACAAAATAACTTTAAAAATTTTCTCTCAAGAAAAATCTCAAATGAGGGTCTGGTAAATTAAAAGCAGTTCTAATGTTTGGGGCTTTTTCTAAACAGTTCTGCAGTAAAGCCGTAAGCACAGAATTAAACCTGATTGCTATATTTGAAAAAAATATGAGAAAATCTTCAGCAGCATACAGCTTTAGAAAACTTAGATGAAGTTAATTGAAGCTAAAGGTAGAGCTTATGGGTCCTACCTTATACTTTAGAAATTCAAAGAAGGCCAGAGTGTACACATAAGTTTTATTCTCAGTTCCAGCACTATGACGTGACCTAACTGGATGTCTCCTACTTTTCTTTATTTTAGATTTTCTCCAGGAAAAATTCACATCTGAAGGAAAAGCAGGTCTGGTGTGTAACCATAAATGTCACTGGTACCTTGTACATCCTCAAAGCGAGATTGTACGCTGCCTCTGAGATATGCTGTTTGCCCGACCAGCAGGGGAGAGGCACAGGAGGTGGGCTCGGGAGGAGCCAGAGGGTTTCATTCTATCCCTGCCACCTCAGTGGCAAGAGAAGAGAAGAACTAAAAATACGAATCCCTACTTTTAGCATGTACCCAGCACTTCTGAAGGTATTTTGAACTCAGTCTAACCTAGTTTTCATGCTATGAGTCAACAGATAACTCAGACTCAGCAAAGGTTTTCATCTTAATTCTGCCAAGATTTTTGTAGACCATTCAATATGAGAAGCTTCAGCATATCACACTATCTGAAAAAAATACTCCACATCTATGAACTGTGACTTACCTGGTCGCAGACTGAGAGTTAATTTTTGAGGAGAAACCTGTGTGACATCAGAATTGTTCTTCTGGGTCGATATAGTTAGGGGCTTGTTTCTGTGAATTTCTACTTCTGAAACGGGAAATTCAATCAAATTCAACTGGCATCCTTTTGACAAAAGATTTTCTGGGGTATCACACCTTCCATGAATTCCAGCTGAGTCTGTGTAATTCTAAGGCAAATAAGAGAAGGAAGGGATGAATTAAATGTTTTTACTGACTAGCCACCATCATCTGCCTAATGAAAGGTGAGTCCAAGTTAGTGCAGACTAGTGCAGAACTAGATCTAGGTGGCACAGAAACCTAAATTTGCCCTTCATGGATCATGTCACCCAGGTGTATAATTAACGTAACTTACACCGACTTGTTATCCTGGGAGAAACTGCCCTATTGTTGGGGAATGGGAATTGTGCCACTCACTGCATTTGGCTTCTCACAGTGCTGGGAATGATAACACAAAGCCCCTCTGAGCCCCTGTTTTTTGTAGCACAGAATTATGCCACAAATTCATCAGTCTTTCCTAAACAGTTTTGAACTACTGTTTGAACCACATTATTTAATAATGGAAGAGGTCTTGCAGATAATAAACCCCTAGACATTTTGTGACAAACTGATTGTGGGGTACCAAGTGTTCACTGTTTCTTTTCTTAACTGACCTACTCTTTCTCCACAGCACTCATTTAACATGTTTACTGAAGCAGGTAGTAAGTCCTTGTTCCTCTGCCTGGTGCCCAACAAGCACCACAGCCTGACCCCACCACTCCCAAGCACTAGTGGGGCTCCTGGCATCCCCACATCTATGTTTTGCTCAGTTGTCGTTGTGCACCAGTATCCCACTTGACTTTCTCCCAGTCCAGAGCAAATCACAAGCCTGTTAATACCAGTTGGATATCTTGCAGTTTACTTTTGTTATTCAATTCAAAGCATTGATATGCATTCCTTTCCACAACACTGCTACAGGGTAGATACAAACCCTGAAGTTAATGGTTAGTTTTAAAAAGAGGCTTCTGTGCCTTATTACCATTTCCCAGAGCTATGTCTAGAGTTTAGATCCTCAAAATCAGTCAGCTGTCTCCTGAAATAGAAACTGCTCTGGCCTGCAAGACCTTTCTAATCAAAACTTGGGTAATGCCTGGCCAAACCAGCTCTGAAACATTTAATTCCTGGCTGATAGTCATGGGTCCATACCATGGGGCCGCTCTTCTCTCCTATGTTTGGGCAAACAACCTGGGTTTCAGCCATTAAACCACAAATATTCTTTGAATTCAGTCACTGAAAAAATTTCCATCCAAAGCAAAACAAATTTATTTAAACCTATTAAAATCAGAACTATGACCCTTTTTTCTACCAAAACGTCACCCTTCATGCCAAGATGAAAATTGTCAGGGATCTTATATATTTTGGTGGAAGCAATGTTGAGACACCTGCTGGGAACAGTGGTTTATTATTCTTCAGACCGAAACGGATGCCTTTGCTCAGGCAAAACTCTCACCCACTGCTTCTTGAATACAGAGTGCATAAAATGCATGCACCATTATAAACCTTTCACAGGGAGATCCATATCATCTCCTTTAGTTACACAGTTTTTAACTTTTCAAAACGTGTGAAGAGACAGCCTCATATTTCACATACAATTACAAGGTGTGTTTTTATCCTACAGAAAAAAGATTTATTGGAGGTGCTTGTGTTTGCTCTGATGCTAAAACTCCTATGTCTTTGGCACTCTTAATGTGCTATTCTCTAGCAAACAAGTGAATGAGCTCATAAACAAAATAAAAAATCATGTTTACTGCTCTGAAGTTTTCAATAGTTCCACAGTTTTGCTTTTGTTTGGTTTTACATCAGTGAATTATATCGGGCTTTTTTTTTTTTCCTGAAAAGGCATGGCAGTAGTCAAAATTATGTGATCCAATTTCAATAAAATCCTGTTGCAAAAGATATTCCTTAGAACACTTATTTTTTTAAAAAGTGCAGTTTGGCCTTTGTGAGTTATTTCATAAAGCAGTATGTTAGTCCCATCCTAGGTATCATTTTGGTATACACAAAAGCAATAAGTACTTTTAGCAGCAAAGATGAAAATCAGAAACTACAATGAAAAAGACATGTTTTATTTCTCTATTACTTCTGTCAAGTTTTTAATTGTGATAGCTGGCTAACTTGCTAACATTAATGAAATAAGAGCTAGAATATTTACTGTGAAGTGGGAGATATTATTTAGCATCATTTACAGGTAAAAGTTTTAGAAGCAGAGATGTGAGGTCACTTGCCCAGGGTTACAAAGAAAATATGAAACAGATGTATAGGAAACAAATCCAGATATATTTTTAAAGTCCAATATTTTAGCCAAAACATATCTATGTCATACTAATTATAAAACTAACACTATCATCATACTTAAAATCCACCACAGATTAGTAATTTCTGTGTGCAAATTATACATCTGCAAACTTACACACTGTTTACACCTGCAAACCTTCTGTTTACACTGTCTGGCTTGGCACGTAAGATACAGTCTGGACTCTGACTTCATGTCTGGAGCTTCATCATTGCTATGGGTGAGTCACCCCTCAGGCTGATGATCTGAGCCCCTCTAATAGTACTTTTATTTCTGCCTTAGATGAAGAAGGTTGATGTTGTTGGTTTTTTTAAAAACAAACCAAACCAAAACAAAAACAAAAAACCAAACCAATCACACCCCAACAATGAATAATAGACCATGAAGGGTAGATTCAATTCCACTTCTGATCCCCAGGAAGGCTTTACTAAGTGCTGTATGCATTACAAAAACATGGGCTGACCCAATTAAGTCAATACTTCATCACTCAGAGTGACTACAAAGACTTCAAGTCTTACTTTGAATTTTTTTTTTTTTATCACTGTACCTCTTGCAAACACCAAGCGCAGTGTGGTCCGGAAAGCAAACAATCTTCACAAGTCACTGCGCTTTCCTGAGAACAGGTCCCTAAATTTAAATCCAAGAAGATAAAAGGCTATTAATAACATGCTTAATCATTCAATTTATGAAGAAACAAATAATTTAGAAAATGTGGGAGGTGAAAAATGCACACGTTTAGCCATATTTAGGATTACTGATAAAATTCCTTCTTAGTGGTAGTTCTATTGGTAGAAGATTAACTCTCTAATAAAGATTAAAACCTCAGAATTGCTGGCAATTAACATACTTACTTTTGCATGCTTTATGGGTGGCATTCACTGAAAGCATGCTAACTTGTTTTCTCTAGTGCACCTGGTAAAGCGTTACATGTGTTTCTGGTATGGTGTAGGTAAGCAATTTCCAACATAACCAGAGATATTAAAAGAACAGATTTATGTTCACTCTATACACTTAAAATTGCTTCATTCAGCTGGGTAGGTACTTAATATGATTTTTATCCATTGTGCAAATACCAGTGAAACACTCAGTCGTATGTATAACATTAAAGTTTCTCAGCAGATCAAACTGTGATTAGTATAAACGAAATTGCTCAAATGTCTGTCTCTTTCAGACATGTTGTGCTATGTAATGACCACCAAATCATAGATGAATTGGCAGTGTAGCCCTAGAGCAGTCTGTCGAAAAAAAAAATCATTAAACAGAAAGGAAGGTTTAAATACAGAAGACACAAAGCTTTTTCATGTCAACTTCAAGCAAGAAACAATGCAGAAAAGGTTTTGAAATAGATCTCCCTGCCCCTGAGCCTTACCTTGCACATAGTTATTTCTTTGGAGGAATAGGAAACAGAGGCAAAGCAATTCAATCCCCATTCGTTTTCAGTGCTGGCTGCGTGACAAAAAAGTATTAGCTTGTTAATTATCATCTGTGTAAAGGTAGAATGTCGTAAAAATTATACATTCCTGGAGGGTATGTTTTCACCTACACCGGATTGCGAGGAAACTTCAACCCTGGCAGGAGGGACCATGAACAAAAGTGAAAACAAAGGCTACCTGGGCAGGTAAAGAGGACAAGCTGTGCATACAGTAACGTGAACATGGTTATCACTTCCTTGTTTTCCTGGACTCCTTATAAGGCATACAGGGAAAATTCATTCAGGTGAAGATTTCTGTCAATCCCAGTCACTCTGGGTCCTAGAGCAACCCGGCCAGGAGACTCTCTTTGCATGTGTACAGCAAAGCTTAAAAGACTCCTTCAAAATAACACCTTTAATTGTTCACTGAGGGGGTGCACTGAGGAGATGGATCATTACCATTGCCAAGTGATTGTACCTGGAGAGATGTAAAAATTCCATTTTTTCAGATTTCCTGATGTGTAGGGAAACTCATAAAGACAACTGTGAAAAAAACAAACAAAAAGCAAAAACCAAAAAGCAATTACATATTAAAATGAGGACCTGGCTTCAGTATTTCAAGATACATAGTAATTGATTTTATTAATATTCCAAACTGAAAGGGAAATGCTGCAGTTGTGTATTTTTTTATGTGAAGAAGGAGGAATAATTGCATTCCCAGTTCTGCAGCTGACTTGGAAAAAAAAATCATGTCAAAAAAACTCTGCCTAATAAGTCACTGAATATTCTACAGCACAGATACAACTGCATAACAAGTTATTGCTATCTCCCCTCTCCCCTCCCAACCTGAAATGAATGCAAAATATGCATTTCTGACCACCTTATTGAAAGGAAATAAAATTTCTTATTTGTATGTTCCATCTCTTCCCATCTTTTCTGCTCTGCTATTGTCTGTTTTGAAAATCATTTGTTCAAGACAAGTCCTGTCTTTTCATGCGTGCTTGCAATAGGCTACACAGGGTAGTATAAAATTCTAATCTAGTCATTTGTGTTGCTGGCCTGACAGTCAGACATCCTACCCAAGTTAGCTCATAAGGACTAGGTTGTTCTCACCAAACAAGATCTGGCAGGATTAGACCTCCCTTTTCAGACTGGTAGTAGCTGCAACCTCGGGGCAGGATGTGAAAGTAGGGATGGGTCTCTACCAGTTAAACGCCATATGCCTGAAACACTCCTGGGCATTGAGGCTAACTGGCACAGAAAGTTCGTGCTTGCAAAGTGCCTACTGGGACCATCCTAGCAACCAAATTGTGCCCAGAAATTGTTTGCAGTGCGTGTTAATTGGAAGAGGTCAAATTCATGCCAGGAAGCATTTTAACAGTTTAATAGCATAGACAATCTCATTCTAGTGCCTGGAAATATTCCCAGGCCCATCCAATTTTACTAGTATTTACACAGTCTATGGGTAGTTTCAATAGCAGCTCAAGCTGGATTACATCAGGACTACCTTTGCTCCGCCCTCGTGTTCCCACCCCTTCGCTGTTACCAGTCAGTGCTCATGTCCCAACAAGCAGTGAGCTGTTTCATACTGATCCAACTCAAATCCAATCACCTACTACAGGGAAGGTGTGGGGCAGTTTTTCATCTGGGTGGGTCCCTTGAACCCTGTGACTGTCCAGTCCAGAGTGCAAGGCACAGTCGGTAGGAAATGTGGGAATATGTTAGGCTCAGTTTAGACCAGTTTAGGCTGTTGTGGAACCATATTCTAACAGTTCTATTTACAACAACATTCCTAAGTCTCCTTCAACTGCTCTCTGTGCCTTGGAGTGTCCTTGTAAGGCACATGTTCAACTACAGCATCTTTCCTGTGGCATGAAAAAAGCATTGATTAGATTACGTTCCCTCAGCTTGTGAAGACACAACTCTATCAGAACACTGTAACTATATAAAGCCAAAAAGAAGTGGAATCAACTGAAAATGTTTGCTTTTACTAAAAAAAAAAATCCTCCTGTAAGTGCCATTTTATTTCCCTGTTTGTAAGTGACATTTGTGTATGTGTCCTTTAATATTGTTGTTGTGTCTATAGCCTTGCAGAGCTCCAAAACCCGGTGCTTTCCCTTTCAATGTAGAAGGTCACCTTGTAGCTCTAACTAGCCCCTGGTAATGTAACACTTCAAAGCATGTGCTCAAAGGACGCAGTGGGAGTCCTTCAGCCACCAAAACGTACCAGCCACCAGCAGTGTCTCAAATTAAGGACCAACCAGCTGAACAGCTGGCAATTAGCAAATGCTTATTCTTAGATTCAAGATATCAGACTTTTAAGTGTAGAGAGAATGAATAATACAGCCTACACAAAACTTACAAATTCTATTTGATATTATCAGTTCCCTATTTGCTTGTGAGGTGATATTTTATAATACGTCTTGGCAAGGACAGCATGGCTGGAGGCTAAGTGTGTGCCTGCCTCTGAATGGGGTGGCTGCCAAAGACTATCTGAATAAGTCTTTCCTGAAAAAAATAGTTAAGTTTCTACAAATTATTAGGAACAGACCTCCCCAGATTGTCTGGAGAGAGAAGAAAAAGAAAGTAGCAGAATTAACAACAACAAAAAAGCACAGGAAAAAGTGATATCTAAAGGTAAGTTGATCAGGAAGTTCCTCTGCTAGATCAGTGTTTTGTTGGCTTTAACTATCTCTAAAAGAGTAGAATTTCAAATGGGAGTAGCCACGCTGATGTGGGAAGGATGTGTAAAATCCTTTGGGATCCTGGCATTGCTTGATTTGACAGCAAGGTTTCCATCCCAAGATTTTTAAGAGAGTCTTGTTTCACTCACCCAAATTAAAGGCATCAATTCAATGAGATAAAGCAGAAAGGTAGTTTCGAGTACAGTCATAACACAATTATTATTGTTACCATCGGTCACTACATTTTCATTTTGGAGCAAATTCTGGTTCAGTTAAATCAGGGCTACAGTTTTATAATGCCACATCAGAACAGAAGATAGGTGTTTATCTTTCAATATGGGCAATGCTAACAATGCAAGTCTGTGGCTCTTTAAAAGATAATAAAATCTGTGTAGGTTAAAATCCTTAGTACATTTTCCCCCATGCCTGGCACTTAAAATACACAAAGATAGCACAGATCTCTCAGCTTCACATACAACCCAGCTCTTAACTCCCAATGCTCTTCTCACACACACTCTCACCTTTTTCTCAGCCTGGAAAATTATGGAGCTATTTGAAGTCTGAATGCCTCCTGGACTGTGATGATTCTCAGAATATTTACAAAGGTGTAGGGGGGCATCTCCTGCACTTCAGAAAACATTTTTCTCTTCTTATGAGAGGGAGTCTCTCTTCTCTCCACCATACAGAGCCAACATATTCACCTCCTCAACGCATCTCTAAGAGGCAAAGGGCTGCAATTTGTACATCAGAGGTAGGTTACTTTGTAATTGAAACATCTGGTGACTTTATTCTCTCCCTGGTTGGCTTCCCAATCAAACTGGACTAGAAAGCTCCTGAAAATCTCCTAGTGGGGAATCAAAGTAGACTTTAAAGTTTTGGTCAAAATTTTTAACCCAAAAGATAATAACTGAAAAATATACAAAAGTCTGCAGGTTAAAACACTTTTTTCTTAAAGAAGACAAATGTTCCATAGCTGTATAGTCAAGTGCTTCCAGACTCTTGGGGCAGCAGAAATGGAAAGCATTTTCTTTGGAAAGTCTGAGCAGAATTATATGCCTCAGCAGCCTGACAGACCCAGTTCCAAAGATGTTTCAGAGGATTTCTGTCAGTTAGCTAAGGAACAAAGTCTGAAAAAGTTTCCAAGCTTGAAACTTTGATTCATCTCTAAAGAGCTAAAGGTGATTTGAGTAGCCATGTAGTGGCGTGAGAGAGAGAAAACAGGCCAGTCCAGCACACAGAGAAACCACACACAAGTACTGCAGTGACACTGGAAGGACTGTCCTCTCTCTGACTTTGCTGCAGGACAGGTCTGACAGTGCTTAACAAAGACCTGGTAAAAACACTTTAAGAGGAAGCAACAATCCCTAACAAACAGTTGTATTTAATGGGGAAATTCACAGTGATGGTGAATGTGACTAATCAGCAATTTTTTTTTTTCACTTGATACTACCTGCTATCTCTTTCTTTGTTAATCACCATGGTGAGAGATGAGTACTGCTCCAACAGAAAATGGCATCCAACCAAAGGAACCACTGTAAACATTCAGGTTCTATATAAGCGACATGGAGCCTGTTGTAAGCAAAGGTCTGAACATACAGGGATGGAGCTGCTTCACTCAAGCTCCTGTGTTTTGGGGTGTACAAATATCAAATCCCATTAGGAGCCTAGGACCAAAACCCCCCTGTGTAGGGTGAGCCACAGAGCCCACCGAGACATGGGCAGGTATATGGAAAGGTCTCCAGGTGCTGTTTCCAAGCACACCTACACACAGTGGAGAAGGAGTGTCTGTAGCTCCTTCCAGAGGGTTGCAGGAGAGGAAGAGCCACATAGAGGAAAGGAATTTTCCCCTCCAGCTCTGATCAAAGCAGGGCCTTTGGGATTGGTGACTCAGGCTGTGATTCATGCTCTGGTCTCCTCTGGTTTCCGGAGCAGTGCGCTGCTGTTGGAGGAGGGCAGAGAGTGAAGTCAACAACCTACCTCTGAACAAACAGAGAAGAAGAGAAGAAAAGAGGAGGAATTGCTCACCAACTGTGCAATGAGCAGCAGGCAAGCAAGTCAGGGTGTTTTCAACTCATGTTTACCTTACCTGCAGCTCTGACCTGGCTGGTTCCAGCCAAAGGCATGAGCAAACTTCTGCTCTTGGTTTTCTTGGCATGGGTAAGCACCCTGAAAGATTTGTTTGCTTTTCAGATTTGAATACACTCTCACACCCAAAGCAAAATAATCAAACCTCTGAACTGCAGAAGGGCTCAGTTGGAACTGGTAGGAAAATCACTTGGCATTGGAATAGGACTGCCGACCAGCCTATGACACTCAAATCTTCCCAGGGACGTCCACTCAGAACATCAAATCTGGCCTTGGTTTCTATCTGTTTTTCATGGTTACATGGTACCCCTTATTTTCCCTACTTGATAAAAACCTGGGGCAGAGGCACCAGAGCAAACACCTATCCTCAAGGCTGTTGCAAGGCTGAGCACATTTGGGATGGGAAACACACTGAGTACTGATTGCACAGCTCCTCAGATGCCTGCATGTCAGCTGAAGAACTTTCTGTAACTGACCCTGTTCAGATTAATGCTAAATTCAGACCAGACCTGCTGCCCCCAGCACAGAAGGCCAAAGTGAGTCCTGAGCCAGGTGTGCTGGAGTGGCACGAAGGGAAACGCAGCCCTTTAGCCCACCCAGCAGCAATGTGGGCTTGCCTTTGGAAAAGACTCTCTGGTTATGTAAACACAATGTCTTCAGGCCTGACCCTCTATATGTAAATTCTAAACTATGGAGCTGGGATTAAATCACTTGTAAAAAGTGATTCCACTCTGGTTTTACACATAGAAAATAATTTTATAGCTCACCTCACTG